GAACATAACATTTTTTCTCCAGGAATTCAACATACCTGTAGTTTGTGCTTGAATATGTAACGAATGGCAAGTTATACTTGGAGTGAAAGAGCTGGACATCGAAATCATTATTTAATAGTCTGCCTGAAGTGTTCCTGCGGCGTTAGTGAGTGAGTTTGCATTTTAGCGAACGGCGGAGATATGTGAACATTTTCAGAGATAAGTCTTGCTGTGTTTCAGGAACGCTGCGAAGACGAATGTAATGCATTTTCATTATTTTTTTTCTGGCAATTACCTGTTTCCTGGAGGTTACGAAACTCACTAATGTCTATGACATTTACAGCAGACTATTACTTCCTCGAGTACCACCGTGATGGTTATTGTAACAGGAACACTCACTCCATGAATCACCGAAAAGTTGTTGGAAAAATTGGGAGTTCCCTGGGTTCTCTCATGGCCCCATCCACGGGGATGGGAAACATCGCAGGGCCGGTCATTTACATTATAGGATACCACCCGATGCAAAACTCCTGAGTCAGCATGAAATGTAGCCGTGGGGTCTGATGATTCCACATGAAAGGCGAATAACCCCGCTTGATTTTCTTCATCCTTTTGCCACGAGCGTCGACGTGGGATGTCTATGGCTTCAAATCTTTCTCATCGGCCCGAAATAAAGAATTTCAGAAAGATATTCGTGTGTCTGTAGATGATGCTGAAAAGGAATAGGGAAGAGAATGAGCTCTCGGACGACTCCAGTCCGTTTTCAAAATTACATCTCTTCGTTTCTGAAGAACAGTGTACTTAGGATAAGGATCCCCGAGTACGGCATGAGCGACCTCCATGCAGATCCAATTCTTAAAAACTTAAATCGGAGGAATAGTTTTGGTTTCAGGAGAACGTTTCTCGCATCGTCTTATTGTTGGTCTAGCGGGTCTCTACTTTCACTCTTGCATAAACTCTAATTTCCCTGCAGGGGGCTTTTGAAGGATCGATGGAGTTCCCCCAAGCGATTGATCCGAGTCCAAAAACCTTTTTAATGAACCGATATCGATGAAATCATTTCGTGATGACGCACGTTGTAATATTTGAAGAACAAAATTTGTTGTAGGAAAACGGAGCGTGAAGCGTTTGGCATTCCCAGTTCAGCTACATTTTCCACCTGCCTCCTGCATTCCATGCCACTGGAAATTGGAATTTTTTGCTGGAGACGATGCATTGTTGTATCGTAGAGGCTACCTGCGGATCCTAGGAATGGCTCTGCCAACCCGGTGGCATTTCTCATATGAAACTCAGTTTCCCTCTCGTCTCCTACTGCTGTAACAATCGGCAACAATGGAATTTTGAATGATTCAGATGGAAACTCTCTGCAGGGTGCCTATGGAGTTCCCCTCTCTCGATGGAAGAAAATAGTTGGCCATCTTCTCACTGTTTTATTTTTTTATTCTCGCAAGCACAAGAACAATGAATGTCCAAATTACGTGATATAAATTTCAAAAACGGAGTGCCAGTTCCAGGTGACACGTTTTGGTCTCGTACGTATGAACCTTCGTCATATGTGACCATTCAAGTAGAGAGTTTCAACATATTGACCGCGAAATGTATTTAGATCAATGTGTTAGTGAATAAAAAAATTAATGTCAGTCACTGCTTTCGCTCGAGCGCGAATAGTTCTTTTCATACCACTTCCGTTTCCGCGTAAGAAAAAATGTTGAGTGCTCGTGCTGAGGACCTCCTTTTGGTTGCGCCCACTTTCTTCCTTCCCCTGTCCTCTTCCCGTGACTAAACTTCTTGACCGATATTAAAAGAAAAGTGCAATTTGATGCTTTGATGGAAATCCAAGCTTCCTAAAGATATTAATATCAAATGTTGAGGCACGTAAGAAGCGCTTTCTTTTACTCTACACTTCCTCTAACTTCATCTTCTTCTTCCACTTACCTCCCTTCTGATATAGCCATGAGCTTCTGAATATTTTGCATGAGTCAGTGACGTCAGGTATATCCTATTAGAGACACAAAAGCAGACCTGTTAGGTTGCTTTTATCTAGGCTCTTATCTGACTACCGTATCTATCGACCGAAGTAGGAAGCTGACGCAGCTAAAAGCAAGTAGTGAAAGAAAAAGCTCTGCACCTGACACCTTCGAAAGCTGCGGGCTATTCTGCATGACGATTGCATTATACACGGTGCCCCAATAAATTAGGAGCCACTTGTAAAACTCCAATACCTTTTAAACGAAAGATTGGATGTTCGTGAGATCAAAATTTCGCACACTCTCGTCAGTCGTCATTGTTTCAACACAAGCTAGTTTTAATTAATCGAGAGAGTTCGAAGATGCGAGAATTTAAGAAAGTTCGGTCGGGTGAGGAAAGGTTTCGCTTGAGAAGCCCTCCCTCAGTCGCGTTTTTCACCCGCGGCGAGCCAGCCGACATGGCCTAACCTGAGCACATCCCTTTTTTAGCCCTTCACTGCCTATTTAATTCAAAGGGTATGAGGAGCACTTTAACTATAGTCGAACGTGGCAGCAAAAGGGTTAAACAGGCCCATTTTCAACGTTTTAACTTCTGGGGTTTCCAAAACCTCTTCAGATGACGTTCTGTGAAAAAGATCAGCATTCGGTGAAAGCCTTGCGAGTATTGAAAGGGTACCGTCGTTCCTTCAAGGCGTTTCCTGGTAAAACAAAAATATATATATATAACTGGTCTCGGCATGGCTGCCACTATCTCCTGAAATGGAGGAAACGAGATGAATGATGTGGAGGCCAGGGAGTGGCTTTCATCTTCACCTTTATCTCCAACTCCAGATAATGTGGAGGCGGTCGTCATTGGTTCTCGGCCAGGAGGACCAATCTGAAACCCATGAAAGGCAATAGCAAAGCTCTTTCGAAACTCAAAACTCTTGTACTTCTGTCCAGCGCATCGCCGAGAAGGAATTTTGCCACAAATGTTTGAAATTCGCTTCCCGGCTCATCTGGTCGACATTATTTTGTTCACAATTGCTGCACCGTCTAATACTATAGGATCGGGATTATGCCAATGAATATGAAATAAGAAAGGAAGTACTTGCTTCTCGTCTTATCCACTCCCGACCCTGTAAGTCTGTTGAGGGGTCAGTGGGAGTGTCCATGTTAGACGTATGCCTCGAAGAATTCAGGAATTAGAGATGGGAGTAGAAAGGGGTCAACATCGATAGAGAAAACCTTACAAATCTCAGGTTTGCTGGATACGCTACTCTTGTTCAGGAATCTGGATAAATGGTGGAATAATTGTCGAAAGAACTCGCTGCCGAAGGTGAGGGAGTGAGTCTGAAGGTGAACATGAAGTTATAATTCTGAAGTTATGTTCGGTGACCATCAGACCCCAAATAAATTAAAGTCAAAGGAGAGCTACTAGTGCTCACGAACCGGTATCCTAGTATCTATTTCGGACAAGTGGTACATGTGATTTCGGATGATCCGAAAGAGGCGAAGCGGTCTATTGCTGGTCGAAGAGCAATTGGGAAGCTCAGCAACATCATTGAGAGTAATGCTCATCTGTCCGAAGCTAAAGGTCTTCGATCGGTGTGTTCTCCCTGACAGGACCTATGGATGCGAAACGTGGGTTCCGACCAAAAAGATGCAAAAAATAGTGAACAGCTGCAAGAGGAATGGAGAGATGCGTGCTAGGCATCAAAGCCGGAGAGACAGGCTGATTTGACCTGGATACGAAAACGGACAGGACTGGAGGATACGATGAAGAAAGTGAAGGGAGGGAGTGGAAGTCCTCAGACCACCATGGGGAACTGATGGAACAGAACCAAAAGATCTCACAATGGTACCCAAAAGGAGCGACTATAAACAGAGGACGACAGAAAATGCCACGGAGAGACAACTAAGCTAGTCGAAGTGAAGTGGATTAATGAAGCATGGGATCGAGCTAACTGACGTGAATTAGGAAAGGCCTTCATCCAGCAGTAGATGGAAAATGGTTGATGATGACGATGTCATCATACGATCTCCAACGGATGCCGTCAATCCTCGCGAGAATAGACGCATGAAGGAAGCGAGCAAATTTGGAAAGTCACGAGTCTTGACGCATCGAATTGGATTTGCGCAGTGGATTCTTGCATTTCAGGCGATTTCAGGTGAATTTCCGTTATGCGCTGCAGTAAAAAAAAAAAAAAAAATTACTCGCCCCGTACATACTTGAAAAGCAGCGGAGTCAAGCGTATGCTGGGCGACCGAATGGAGTCCCCCCTCTCCCCCTTTTTTATAATATGGATTAACATTGAGGCAAAACAATAGCTTGAGCTTAGGCAACTCTTAGGCAGGCGAAGGCTAGCTACCAATAAGGCGATATATCGTCCTCGAAACGAGAGATGCATACCCCTTCTTCCGCGATTCTTCTTCTCTTTCTTGAAGCTTTAGGAGCGGGGGTGAGGACCTCCACGAATAAAGTTTTCTCAGAAGACGTCCAACAACATCAACTTCGCATGCTGGTAAGGCTCTCACACCTTCAATACTCGTGCATGTGCACATATGTTCACAGCTTTCATGAGAAGGGAAAACGAAGATTGTCACCTTGAAAAAGAAGGTTCAAAAGAGATAAGGCCGGGGAAGATGAGAGATTGGGCGAATGAAGGAAATATGAGATTGAATAGAGAGATTCGTCGTGGATTCTACCCTTCCAGCTTCTTTGAACACGATGATGAAATCCAATGGATTTCACTTGAATCCCCTATTACATCTGAATGAATGAGTTAATGAATGAATGAGAATAGGACTGTGACGTGCACGTGGGGTTCACAGTCATGCCCAGGGGCTGTGAAGAATTGTCCATTCCGAGCGTCTGGGTTGCCAAAACTTCCAAATCACTTCCCCTCTTATTCTCACAATGTAACTTATACCGCAACATCCTTCGACAGGTGACATACCTATTCCCTTTCTAGGTAATTGTCGTAACGGCTTGCGGACGACACGGGATGAGTGGGAAACGTATGTGTTGAAGGGGTAGAGAAGAATGGAAGATTTGGCATCCATGGATGGGCCCCGAGGGGGAAAGCAATGCAACTGCAAGGCGAGGTAAGAGAAAGCTTTCGCTCGTCCGCCATTGTCGGTTCTGGACCTGCTGCACTCCATCCAGTTAGGCGGCTCACTCCTACTGGTTCTGTGTCTTCAATTCTCCTACCATCGCAGATGATCGACTGTCATCGGTCGATCTGGTTTGTTGAAGTGGGATTGTGTGGAATGAGATGAGAAAGCGATAGAGTGTGGAACCGTGACGCGAGTAACTTGTTCTTTCGTCTCATTTCCGCCTTTACTAGTCTGCATTCAAATCCCTGCCCTTGTCATCTCGAATTTTGTCGGTCAAGGTCATGGCTTGAAAGGGAGGGTGGAAACAGGAGGGAAGATCCAGCATGGAAGATTTGGAGATTGCCATCAAGGTGAGTCTTGTCATTTTATAGTGTAGGAATAGAAGAATATATCCGTGACCAACCATGCGGAACTGCGGTCTTCAACCTCATCGCGCCTTTCTTACCACCTGTTTCTCTTTGTCTTACCTTCCCCCGTCCAGTCCTACGCAACCGCTCATCTCCAGGGTTTGCATTATACCTTGATTCATGCAGAGGGATGAGTTTTGCTGAACTAAGAGAAAATCAGCCACCGGGAGCGGAAGCATCGTCCAGTTCAGGACAATGCTTCCGTGCTTCAGGTTAGATTGCGGTTTCACGCCAGAAGTTAAGACGCTGTCCAACCGGCATGGATGTTTATGGTGTTCCTCTATGACAGAGTTCTAATATTTGAAAAAAAAATGGAATAAGTTTTTAAAAAAAATGCAAAAAAATGATGGGAAAAAAGTTGCAGGACTTTTGATTCCTTATATATTGGAAACAAAACCCCTCAGGGATGACGAACGCCATCAATACTAAAATGCTCATTAAATGGTTTCTCAAAGAATTCATAGATTGTACGGAGAGACAGATCAGAGTCCTCGGAGCTTCGCGAGGAGTCTCCAAGGGACTCCCCATCCCCATCTCGGAGTTTAATCACTAGTCTTCTTTTGCAAAGGTGGTCATCGTGGGCAACGGAGCTGTGGGTAAAAGCAGTATGATTCAGCGATATTGCAAAGGAATTTTTACCAAGGACTACAAGAAGACCATCGGAGTGGACTTCATGGAACGTCAAATTGAGTGAGTTCCTTGTTAACTCCAAACCCTCGGCTCGAACTGGTAATTCGTGTAAGATTTCATTTCCAATAGGAAATGGGTATTACATCGGAGTAGAGTATAAGCAGTATTGAAGAGCAAAAATAATAAACCTTATCCCTTACGCGAGTTGGTATCGAATTTCGATTGGTCTCTTCGTGTATGCTCATCTGTAAGTTAGAGTAATTGAATATTCTTCCATCGTGCAGGAATAACAGGACTGCTAATAAAAGTACTATGGGTATACGTAAATCCTACCCCAATTTGCAGAGACGCCGCGATAGGGTATCCGAAGAAAAGAGGGCTTCTGCTTAAGATCCACCTCTTTCCGCGATTAAGCAACAGATCTGATAAGCTCAAACGAATTAACTGGGCTATTAAATGGGCCACTATGGTAACCTGCGTATCTGTCGTTCCCATAGACGTCTATTGTGAAGGCAGATCGGTCCAAAGTTATTCTATCTGGTGCAAGTCATCGTGTGTTTTTAATGGTAAGGAGAAAGTGAAAATATTCGGCATGCAGATAGTTTACCGCCGACATATTCGGAGACTGAAAAAGGAGAGAGAGGAACTCATTGTGTGGTTGTCAAGTACTGAAAAGTAATTTTTTTTTTAATCTGCCCCGTTTCTACCTACATACATGAGTAAGTGGGTAAACTCCGTAAATCTGATCGATTTTATAGAAATCCACGTGCAAAATATGAAACGAGTCTCCTAAATAATGGAAAAAGAAAAGTTTAGGGGGTTTATCGTCAGGATAATTTGATGTGGGGAAGATGTGTTCGTGAACTTAGGCGAGATGAGTCAAGTTGAGTTGTTTTCGTATCAGAGGTTTGTATCTCCCATACAAGGTGTGGCACAAAAGACCCCGACTTTTTTTACCTGTTTACCCCTGAAGTTATTATTTATTATTATTTTTTACTAAGCTTACACCGCGCATAGATTGATATGTTCCCTAGAGGCTTGTGAAGTTTCACTCCTCGACAATACCCCGTAGAATTGCGTATATTGTGCGATCTCTGCAACTTGAGAGAGTGCAACGAAGAATGCAGCAGCTCTCACAACGTTCGGGATCATAACTCTGGACATTCTGAGATCACCTTGTTCAGATTATTCGGGGATCTCTTGATGCAGACTCGGGTTCGATTGGGATTTCGCAATTTTGTTCCGAAAAATTCCAAGACTGATTCACAATTCAAAACTTTGTTCAGGCTTGCATCTTTTCTCGTTCGAATCTCGTCCTCGCAACTACCATGGCTTCTCAGTAAGGAGCCGTTTCAGAGTGGTCCAATTGGCTGGTATCCAAAGTATCTGCCTTAGAAATATCTATAAGCGAAAATTGACAGGAGTCGGAAGCAGTGGCGTGGCGTAACGTTGCGAGAGGGGCTTCAGTCCCCAAAAGTTTTTTTGTTCTAGCTCCCCCCCAACTCTGGTCTTATTGCGTCCGCCCCCTGCCCCCCTCCTGGCGGAGAAGTTACTAGCTCCCCTCTGTTCCTCTTTGTCACCCCTTTGACGAAACCCTGGTTATGCCACTGTTCGGAAGGCACCATTAGATCAAGAATGGATCACTTCATGACTTGAATGTCGACCTTAAAACAGTCTCCCACTCCCTCCAATGCATACAAAAATGTTTAACTCTTCTCTGATTCGAATCTCGCGGCAACTCTCGACAGGCAAAATTACACGATATTTTTAACACATTCCTCCAAAATGTATTTCGGATACACGAAACTTAAATTTGCTTATGTTGCCATGTGCACAATTTGACTCGTATGAAATACACTCGTAAGCCCGCATAAGAAAAATAAGATACTATGGACAGTTCCATTCCAGACGAATGTTTAATTTTTTATTATTTGTAATATGTACACGTATCATATCAAATGCAGTGGGAAACGAAGGATAAAACCCGCAAATTCGGCATATTATGAGTGTAGACGGAAGGGGCACGGTGTTTGTTGTGACAGATGAGGCTCGATGGGCCAGTGACTGCATATTTGAAAAACATCCTGAATTATGGATGACAATATGGGCAGAAATCTCTCTTGGCGTCCCAGCTCTTACCTCGAAGCTTCGCAGTTTATGGCTAATTCTGAATTTGGATATGAGAAACTCGACCCATGAACATTGTAGACATGTGTTGCAATTATATTAATCTTTTTTTTTTTTAATCGGAATTCGAGTTATATTTGAGGGTGAATTTGAGAGGAGTACTGTTGGAATTGAGAAGTTAAGGTCTTCTGAGCGGTCTTCCCTTACCTCCCTCTTAACTGTAATCGACCCGTTCAGTGATTCTTCCTTAAATCTTGATGCCATGTTGCTTCTTGAAAGCCAATCAAAGGCTGTTTTACCAAGCCTCCTGATGTTGAACGTGGTTGTTCCTACATGAGTGTGCGCGTTACGTCTGTCCTAGATGATGAGTTGGTTAGACCAAGTCAAAAACAGGTTTTTAAAGGGGAAAGTTTTCGGGATTTCTCGGAAGCATAAAAAAATTTTTGTTCATATGCCATATATATATATATATATATATATTTTCCCCCCCTTTTTTTTTCTTCTTTCTTTTTTTCCTTTTTTTTATGCATGTTAATGTTAGAATTTTTACCAATCAAGAGACCGAGAAGAAGATGTTCATGTGCACTTCCTTTAACAACGGAAGCAACGGCAATTTGTGGAACTGAGATTAAAATGATCTCGGAGGCACAATGACGCTTTGGATGCTAATGAATCCGAAGCCCTCTCTACAGTGTATTCTTTTTGTACAGGGCAGTGAACTTGTTCTTGTTCAAATTCCACATGCTTCAGGGATCAAGGGACGCAATCCGGGTCATTACGTAATACCTTACTCTCGGTCTGAGATATATTTACATCCTTTCCATTTTTACATGAATTTAAATGTGATTGATTATTCTTTAAATGGCCGAATGGCTGTTCAATTTTAAATTCTGATATATAGATTTTCAAAGTCAAATATGGGAATAAGAAAGTCAAATGCGTCGCTCTGCTGGATGTTGGGCTTCGAAGAAAAACATGCTAGACATATGAAAGTAAAATGCGACCGTCATATCTCCCGCCAGTGTCGGGCGACTGCCTCCCGGCAGCATTTTCATTGTGCATAGCTCCATATGCAAATACATTCGTGCATATGCGCAGATGCATTTGGATATGACGACACTATTGCAGTTAATATTATTGCATCTATTGATGTCATATCATGACGAATGAAAGCTATTCTCGCAAGTATCGATTTTCCAAGTCAAATGGAGAAGCATCGCAGTCAAAAGCAACTTGAGTAGGACAGGTCTGGTGGATTACTGAACTTTGAAGATATGTATATCCGACCCGAGGAAAATCAAATGTGGCAGCCCGTGTCATGAAAGCAAATGTTTTGGCTGTTCACATCATGATGTCACTCAATTCTAGTACATAGGGGATGTATATATGATAATGCGTACAGAAACCATTGGTTACAATTTTCGGAGATGACGGTAGTGCCTTGATGTCCCAACTCTGAAAGGGTGGGTACAATGTCCATCCCAACCTCTCATACCCATGAACGTCCATCCCTAACTCGGTCGCTCGATCGCGATCGAAAATCCTTTTTACCCTCTGCTAGGAGTCACTTGATGCAAATCACGAAGCATGAAAAGATGAGCTTTCCCCCTTTCCTGTGACCCTTGAAGGAATTTGACGTTCTAATGTTGTATTTGAATTTACATCCCGCATTTGACTTTCTCGTATCCACATCACTTGGCAAACCTATATGTTGCACTTTTTAAGGGACGTTCCAAAACGTTCCTTTCCCCCTCCTTCCCCATTTCTTTTATCGTCGGAATCTAGTTTCCCTCCCCTGATTTTTGGAGGTAACCCATTCCGAGGACCAAGCCTGACGTATTGATAATTGGCAAAAAGATGAACTGCAATAGAAGTCACATGAAAGTGTATCTGGAGCCGTGCGTAATGGAAATACACCTGTACAACTGGAAGGCAGTCGCATGGCACTGGCGTGAGACTCGACTATCGCATATGACTTGCCTTATGTCTAACATGCTTTTCTGTAAAGCCCAGCCTTCGGCACAGCGACGCATTTGAAATTCCTTGTCGCGTTTGACTTTCTTATTTCCTTATTTGACTTGGAAAAGCTATAGGTTTTTCACTTCCATTTGCCGCCTTTCAATTTGCTCAGACCGAATCAGGAACAGCATAACTCCCAGAAAGGGCTCCTCTTTCTCGACTCTCTATTATCCTATTGGTTGACCTGGGCTGTGATGTTATGAGCTTTCGGATCCGACTCCAAGATGGCTTCCGCTTCTCGAAGGACATCAAATGAATCTTCGTCGATGGCAGGGATTATAGTAATAAATATCTGACAAGGAGAAAGGCCAATGCTTCCGATAAAGATCAAGAACGAATCGTCCGAGTATTTGAAGAATCTGATCAAGATTACGAAGAGTTAGCATATGCTTAGCAAACAGAGAGACGACCCTATCGATCATCAGGGTGTGCCTCTATGAGAAATTTGAGAAGAAATTCTATGCTCCAGCTAAGATCGCGTTTCTGGCTAAGAGGAATTACTAATAGTGGAAATAATACTAATAATAGAGGAATGTAATAATATGACTAATATGTAATTTGCTATCGAAGTCCTTGAGATAGCCATATGGAAGAACTAAAGAGGGGGAGGTGCACGACGCGAGAGGGCGGATGATGAGAGGAGCGTGGACGTATAGTTGAAGGTCAACCGCATAGAGACCAAGGAGAACAGAAGTCCAGTGGCTCATGCTCAGGTGACGCTAAAGTCTGGCTCAATAATGGAGACATCGTTTGATTCTTAGCGTTTATATCTCATTGGAGAATCGGCAGAATGGGAAATGGGAGGGTTGATAAATGAAAGGTCGAGATAGGAGTTTCCAACAGCACCTGTCCTCCGCGGTCTTGGTAACTTGAAGTTGTAACTCGGTAAAATTATTTGTACAATGGACAAATTGAAATAGAATTAGACGTTCTATCTCACAGTACCTGTATTTTGAAGTGCACAACTTGTAAATTGATTTGGTAAAAAAAAAAGTGAAAAATCCTTAAGGACCCAATCTTCGAGGAATATTATAACTTGGATATTAATGAATGTACGGTATTTCTGCTGGGCAAGGGCTCCCTTGAAAAGATCTACTGAACTCTTGTCGATGTTGACCGACGTCGAATTTTATTTATTTATTTATTTATGGCACGGACAGTGAATATCCATCAGAATGAACATATGAAAAATGGAATCGAGCCATGGAGACCATATGTTTTATTTTTATTTTTAAAGACAGGACACGCGCCAGAAACACTCGACAACGGACGTATTACAAGACACAGAGAGGATAGGGTGTGCCCGCTTGGTACGAGCACCACAGCTCAATCACAGTCCCTTAGGCTAGGACATCCTTCTACGGTCCCGCAGCCCTAAGTTCGTGAGCACGAGTGATTTTTAAGGTGTACTATTCCCGTGTCTTCAAGACGTGGCACATAGTGTGGCCTGTGTGTTATCCCACGCTAGGCAGACATTCCCCATGGTAGTAGGTAGGCCGGTGAAGGATCATCGCCATTCGGACTCAATCCCTCGCCTCCTTGGTTTCACTCGGAACCCAGAACCACTCGGTCCCATGGAGACCAAATGTTGACTCTATTTCTCATTTCTGCTTCGGCTCTTTTGCAACGTGAGGACGAGTTGTCACGATGATTGATGCATGACAGATCCAAGAGAAGACAGCACACAAACAATTATACTGGGTGGCCCAATAAAAGCGTCTTGTTTAACCCTTTATAAAATTCGCTGTGAATCATCTAGGCTCGTGATGTTTTCGTATCACATTGGAAACCCCACAATTTTCTGAAAGTTTAATTTGCCTAGGTTGTCTGAATAAAAATTTAGTCATTCAAAGTGGAGTCAAAATGTATCTTTTCCGCACATGAGGTGGAGTTTCAGCACTGCTTGAATGATTTCTCTCACTTGACGCCATAAAGACTGCTTTTTACGCCATGTTCTCATTGTAGTATTCGACACGTCGTATGATAGTACTACTGTCGTACGTGGTAGCATCAAAATTGATTCTACGCAGAATACTACGATGAAAACTGGCATAAAATGCAGCCTTTATGACGTCAAGGGAGAGAAATCATTTGATCAGTTCTGAAACTCCATCCACCTCATGCGCAGAAAAGGTACATTTTATGACCACTTTGAACGACTGTCAATTTTTATTCAGACAAATTTGTCTGTCAAGTTTAAACTTGATAAATGAGACTTTTCATAAACAAATTTTGTGGTGTTTCCAATGTGATACAAAAACATCATGTACCTAGATGATCCACAGCGGGTTTTATAAAGCGTCAAACAGGACGCTTTTTTTTGGGCCACCTAGTATTTTAACTGGCTCATTCAAGAAAGACAGTACAAGAGCAATTATTTCTGAACTGGGTCGCACGCTACATTCTCATCCCATTTTCTACCAAAAGTGACAAGCACCCGTGATGCTAACGTGTAAGGCATGCACGCATCGCTGGGAAAGTGTATCTAATGAGGAAGTGATTTCCGGTCCCGATTGATCCTAGGAGCTGGAGACCATTCAGGCTACACCGAAACTACTGATGAGTTAGATGAGTCATATTGTTCGTTTAAGTGGGCCTATCAAAAGATTCGCGTCCTATTGAAGCGGGTCACAGTAAGATTTTAAATGTCACGGTAGAGCTTTCGTACCATGCATAGGCGAGAAATGTAGGTCGCATGCCACGGAATCGTGGGTCAGTCTCGATGATCCAGGGCCACGAATCAAGCGATTCGTTACACTGTGCAAGAGGAACATTCAGCGACTGAATTTGGTGATGCCGATCATGGAACCCTACTTGATTTTCTTTAATTGGTTATAAGGAGAAAAGTGTGATCACATTACCTGAAGTGCTGATTGACCTATTCAGTGGTGTACCCACTATTATATGCACCAATGAAGTAGGGCTTTCCTATGTTCAACCCATCGCTTCCTCTGTCACTTGAATACGCAGATTCTCACGTCTTTGTCTAAACTTTACGCCATGAATAGAATGCTTTGAGTCGATAACTCTTAATACGTGCATTCATGTTTTTGGAGTCACGATGAATAATTCTTAAGTCAAACTTTCCCCTATTCTCAAACCTTTTGGTTTCATGACCCCATTTCATGGAAGTCGCGATCCTCAAGTTTAAGCTCCTCCAAAATTGAGAGAAATCTAATACATGATCTACAATGTGAAAAAAATAAGACCTGAAATTGACCAACTTTGCACTGGAAATCTTATTTATGTGGCTTCCTTGGAAGTTTATTTCTTTTCATTGTTAGAAACGGTGGAAAAAAGGAAATTTCCGAGGGAGTTACCGAAGCAAGATTTATTGTGTACGGTTGGTAAATTTCACACTTTATTATTATTATTTAATTATTATAATGTAGGTCATTACTAGATTTACAGTATCGAAGAACAAGAAAACTTGATGGGGTCCAGGTCTACAAATGAAAGCGAAAGGGGAAAAACAATGTAACTTTTGTTCCAAATTTACTTCTATTATAGAAAAGCACGAAATTACTGCGATGGGTGTTCCATGAAAGGCTTTTTAGGGATCCCTCAGACAAGCATGTTTAAACCATGGAATTAAGAATCTTCGTGTCTGAACAATACTTTCGCTATTTTTCCAAAGCCAAAGATTTGTGTAAGTGATGCTGCGTTTTCTGGAAAACGTAGAAAAGGCCAAATTCACAAGTCAATTATACTTCAAAACCCACACTATTTTAATTTACCGCCGCTTCATCTGGTTTGGTGAGAAGAGTGAAAGAAAAGGGATTTGCTATATCTTCACGATGTTCCCTTTGTAATTCCCCTCGTGGGTCGCAACCCACAGTTTGAGAAATATTGCCCTTAGTTTCAAGCAGGATCTGCACGACTGGGTCTACGGACCAATTTAAAAATTAAAGTGGGTCACATTGCCATGCATGAATGAAGTAGATCAATTGGAAAAAAGCTATCTACTCAATCAAATGAGCCGACTTGATGATGCACATGATAATGCATCATATGAAGCAGAAGTTACATTAATAGAACTGACAGGTGACCCACGAGAAATTTTCAGTGCGTGAATCTCTTCCTCCTTGATGGAATATACGAGGGCCACTCAATAAGTTATCTACCTGAATATGAAAGGGATNGCCAGTGATTATACACTCGTCTGGCATGAACTCAAGCAGCAGTAGTCCCTCGCTGTCCCAAAACACAGTGGCCATAATCTATCCTACAGATTTCTAACACGAAATTTGTGAGGCGTTGGCGATCCCTTGTGCTTCCACTGCATGGACTCCTGCTTGGTTTCGGGATCCCAGTGATGAACCCAAGTTTCATCACCAGTTACTATTCCGGGGAAAAAGTTTCCCCGATTTGTTTAGAAAACTCCAAGTTTTCCTTGCAGATGTCAGATCTGTTCTTCTGAGCTGGACCCATTCTTGGGACCCATCGAGAACTGACTTTGGACATGTGTAATTTTTCATGAATGATGTGAATCACTGTGCCCTCTGAAATCCCCAGTTCATGAGTTAAAACAGAGACTTTGGTGCGACGATCCTCCAGTATCGCACTCTCCAATTTGTCACACGTTCCCTGATCAGAAGCCTCCACAGGGCGCCCCGACCTTGGGTCATCTTCGATTGACTCTCTTCCCCACTTAAACTGCTTGCTCCAAAATTTAACTTGGTAATAAGAAGGCGAAGACACACCATAAACGTTAGACATACGTTCATGAATCTCCTTAGGTGCTTTCCCTTCTTTGGTGAGGAATTTCATCACAGAACGATGTTCGACTTTCGTCAAATCCATGACAGACTCAGGAAAATAAATCTAATGCGCTACCACTTTGAACGGACTTGAGCCACTGAGCTGGTATAGTGGTGGGGCACTCACGAGACCTGTCAAGACATGTCACAGGCCTGTTGCTCATCCCTTTCTTATTCAGGTAGATAACTTATTGAGTGACCCTCGTATATCCTGCCCGCGTAAAGACGCGTCACCCATATTGATCAATATTCGGAAGAACTCGATGTTGTTCCTTTTTTTAGTCTTTTTTTTTCGTTCACCGAGAGATGAATGTACGCGGTGGTCCAATAAATTAGGGAGCACTTTTGGAATTCATATATATTTTTAAAAGTTGCGTGAAAACGGGGAAAATTATGCTATGTTTGGTGAGAAAATGAGTTGGCTGTACTGATGAAACTCTCCCTCGCGAGCGCTTGTCATGGGCGCGAAACGAAGACAATCGACAAGTGTGGGCGAATTGAAACTTACTGTGGATACATGCATTTGGAGGGAGGTGCAGGAATATAAAAAGTAGCCCCTAATTTATTAGGTCACCTTGTAATGAGTTAGCAGTCGTCACGGCGCATAAGCATTTACTTCTGATGTCACTCTACCCTTGTAAACAAGTCAATTTAACTGATGTTTCTGGCCTGCAGGTTGGAAGGGGAGGAAGTGAGACTGATGCTTTGGGACACAGCTGGCCAGGAGGAATTCGACGCCATAACAAAGGCTTATTATCGTGGGGCCCAAGCTTGCGTCGTTGCATTTTCTACGACTGACAGAGCTTCCTTCCTCGCCGTGAAACGGTGGAAGAAAAAAGTGGAAGACGAATGTGGCGATATCCCCATGGTTCTCGTCCAGAACAAAATCGACCTCATCGATGAAGCCGCCATCCTCAAGTGAGTACGTTTGAGCAACGTCCTCAAAAGATCACGCTGACTAACGCGCATTCCGATCTGTAGTGACGGGATGGTCAGAATCCGACTCCAATGGACCAAATTTCATCGACATTCGGCTTCGAGACCTATATGAACTCTAAGAAAGGTTCACGGATTGTATTTATGTAGAATGCGAGTTGACCTCTCCATGCAGGCTTAACTTGCACAACTCATGCCCATCGAGCCCACACCATGCATATTAATTTGCTTGCTCTATTTTGCGTGCCAGTTAACCCGTGCAAGGGACTGTTGTGAAAGTTCGAGAGACATCCGCAGGATATGCAATCGGTTGCTTCCTTATCGAGATCACAGGCTGTGCCATCGGGCAAACTACCGATAAAAGGGGTTTCCCCATCCCGTTTGCTCTCATTGACTGACTCACTTCCCTCTCGCGTGCGCCTGAAACGCGTCTGAGAAAGAGTGGGTATTTTCTCCATTATACCTGGTGGCTTTCATCCAATCCTTGCTATTCGAGATGTCAACCTGCTGCAGATGTACAGGACCCAGTTTCCCGCCGACAATCCGGTGATCCAACAAGATAAGTATCAGAAGCTCGTTGTGGAAAAGGCTGCAAGGTCAATGAAAACAAAACTCAGCATCCGGACAGTCACTTTCGCTGATGGATGAACATCGTGTAGAGGATTCCCGTAGTTGTTCAAGCACAACTGCAAGAACAAAAAGGGCAAATTCTTAGCCAATACTACCCCACAGTGCCGCAAGTCATTCGCATGCTCTCAAGTTTATTCGAAGCTAGGACAAGAAGAGCAAAGGGATAACCCGAAGCCCCCACTCCCCCGAATTCGCACGGAAACGCACAAAATCCAAGTTAACTTGCACAAGTGTTGAATCGTGCAAGTTCAATATGTAGGGTAGGAGCAACTTGCGTATTAAATCTGCGATACTTCCTGCGGTTATTGTGAGCGTCCACTAAATGTTACGAGGGGGGAAAAGTAAAGAAAGAAAAGATTGGATGGCAGAGTTGGAAAAAAGATTATCCATGTTGGACTCAAGATTCAAGATACATATTTTCTAATTTCGTCCGGAAGGACGTACGAGTTGTAGGCATGAGTGGACCGGAATCAGTTCTAGTAGACGCCCAGCCAGCTGAATTGCATAGTCTCATCCATGACGAGCAATCCTCTGCGCAGTCAACTGACGTCGTCAGTCGCATCTCTCTTTCTTTCCCCCCCTAATGCTATTCCCATGCATTGTTCCAGTGCTGCTCCTTTCTCCAATTCTTCCATCTGAGTAATATTGCAGTCATGCGTGTTTCCAGGTCGGTTTGCCTGCAACATAACTCGGAACACAAAGTAATAGTCAGTTTAAAATTAATTTCTTAATATCTGTGTTTTACAGGTTGGAGATGCTCAGTTGTTTTTATCATGCCTCTTTCCTTGAAGATTGTATAAGATATTAACCTTTTCTTGTATCGATATGGCAACTCCTTTACTCACAATCTGAAGGCCTGGAGGATCGAGAAGGGTGGTCGATATGGACCATACTCCAGTTGTGCTCTAAAGATATGAACAAAGATGAGAAAATCAAGACAACAGAATATAGTCGAAGCAGCAAGATTTTGTCGGCCATCTACTTCAGACGAGATAGCAGTAGTCATAAAGTGACATAAAGGTGATGGATGGACTGCCCTGGGAATGGACAAAGGAAGTTGCGAGGAGGCTAGCGTTCAACCGTAAAAAAGAATATGATTCACCCTGATGTTGTATCGTAATAAGCCGAAATCGTCCTAAGAAATAACTCACTATATTCTTGGAATTTTCCATGCTCGCAGTAGAGCAGATTTCCAAAGAGAACGACTTTAAAATGTGTTATGGAGTGATGAGGCCAGATTTAATCTTTGGAGGTGTCAACAAGAAATTGCGTTGCTGCCCCGCCTGCTTCCTTCGCCCTTGGGGTCCATATCTGATCTGTAACAGGTATCTCCGTTCCCCCAGCCCTCAGGGCTTGGGTAACGTAGTTGCTGACTTGATGCGGCTGCAGATGTTTTCCAAACTTGGAATGCAAGGGACCTGATAAAAAAAAAACAACGCAAGGTACCGTTATTCACCTGAAACTCATGTGGGATCTTAAACCTGCACAACACAGAAATTTAGGGTGGATTTTTGAACAGAGCACTATCCGATAATGCAGCTTTATTTCAGAGAAAATGCATTATAAATCCAGTAAATAAAGCTGCATTATCGGATAATGCTCTGTTCAAAAATCCACCCATAGCATTTTTTTCCAGCTAACTTTGTCACCCTGAGCGTAGCAACGACCGAGGCAATTATATTTTTTCTGTTCTGGACGGGGGATATATTCCTGGACTGGACCCGACCCAATAGGTTGGTCACAGCAACAGCTATGATTCTCAGTTTATCTTTGCTAAGGCCTACGCCAGGTTGCTGCCCTTTCTGCAGAACGTTTTTACTGTCGAGGATTCATTTGGCGTCATGCTTCGCTAATTTGCAGAATTCTTGATAGATTAAAGTGGAGTGACTAGGACGGTGTGACGACTTGGAGCAGATATTTGACTTGCAAATTGATGCTACTGGAATTGAAATCCTCCTCGCACTCTAATACATTTTTGCCTGTGAGCAACAGGGCTGCGAGATAGATTGCTTAACTTTCAGTTGCATGCATAATGCATATCGAAATCTTTCAAATCGCCCCCACCGTTCCAAGTCACCCCACTCTACGGTCCTGGAAGTTAATCCTAAGGATAAGACCATAAGCATCTCGATATGAGTTGACTCCCTGGCTTCAATAGCTTATTAATTCATGCGAGACTATAGCTTATCGTATTTGCAAAATTTCAAAGGAATGGGGATGTTTTCCAAGTTTTGAAAGGGCAAACCGATGAAAACATCGCCCATGTCTATCCTCTACTTTCTTAAGCAGCACAAATTAGCCATTAAAAAAATACTTAGCTTTTTTTTGCTAAAGAGAAACAAAAATTAAAGTGCGTAGTGTGTGCAATATCTACTCATATTCCCATTTGTAAAAGTATCGCTGTTGATCTGCTGCTTTAATTATTCTTTTGGTGTCGCAACATCAGGATAGGCCCCCTGCTTTATCCGGCTTAACATGCCAAAATTAACATACGGAGCTCTTTATTGCATCGCATTCTTGGAAATTTAAATAGCAAGATCCTCCCAGGACATGATTATATGAATATACAAGGTGAGCATAAAATCTGGAATCATTGGATGATCAGATTATATGTTCAAAATGATGTCCTTGAACTTGAAAACAGGTTTCCAATCTCGACCATATTACAGAATAATCTAAATTTTTCTTCATTTGACAATGACAGTATGTTATCAGTATTTACAAAGTTAATAAGTTTACCTGAAACAAAAAAAAACGATGATTCCAGATTTTATGCTTACTGTGTTAAGTTCATTCAGCCACATTTTACTGGCTGTTTACTGTACCCTTTTCACTTACATAAACTGACTCGAAACCTAAGTATCAATAGATAATGTAAAAGGAAACTGGATCTACTGAGTGCGGCAGGCATTATAAAGGTTAAAATCCTAACGACTGGGATTTTTTTTTTAAGATTTAAAGATGAAAAATCGATGAAGAGTTTCTGAATAATTTTAAATAAACGTCCGCTTTATTATAAATGTCAAGCAAGCATTGGCATATTTCATTGAAGGGGGGGGGGGAAGGAGTGGCCTACCCACTTGGTGCCCCTGAAACAGAGCTTGGTGTGCCCCTTTGGAGGTAATATTTTCCTCCCCTATCATTCGGGTGGGGTTTGACGTCCTGCTCTGCTGTCATGTCCCCCCCCGACTCTTCAGCTAAAATACGCCGCTGCAAACATGAATATAACGTAAAAGAGTTTTTAATACTTTTCTGCGAGTATGATGAAGCGATTAAAATAGTCCATTCTACTTTCACTTCTTTCCCCTTTCTGTTGATGATCATGGAGACGCATAGAAAAGTCTTCTAACTAGTCACTGTAAATGGAAAGCTGCAAAGTCATTGTGTGGTTGGGAAAAGTCTAATCGATTTGATTGTCGACTTTAAACAGGTCCCCACACCAAGCATGTCGATAAGCAAATGAAAATAATGTTCAATGTTTCCATGCAATTTGTTGGATCCATGTTGGATTTTGTGCTTGCAGTGAGGAAGCAGAAGCCCTAGCTCGTGAGTTGGGCCTCCGACTATACAGGACGTCGGTGAAAGAAGACTTGAATGTAGAGCAAGTCTTCTCCTATTTGGCAGCTTTGTATATAGCAGAGCTGCAGAGTCTAGACGACGAAGAGGAAGAAGCTCGTTTACCTGGTCCTCTGCCACCCTCCATCCCAACATCTAATGGATCAGGTCAGTACTTTTCTGTCTTTCCTATCCCTTTCAGGCAAGGAGCTTCCCCTGGTCCCTCTTCTACTCGTGGTTGCTGTTTTACACTAAAACAGTTTATTGCCATTTACGCATACGCTGCAGAATCTCACTAATTTCTTAGTGCACTCTGTTGCATATACTATCAATACTTTCAAAGACCTTAAAATAAATAGTTAAGGATCTGCTTGTTATTCTGAACGACGAAATGTGTTCTCCCAGAAACAACTGAATCCATATCGAGAAATTCGGTAACAAAGGACTTTTTCGCAACAGGGGTGCGCATTTTTGGCCATTGAACTCCTGGACTGGTCGTGAAATGATTTTCAGTGAAGTGTTGAATATCGAAGCCTGCTTTTACGCTTATCAGCACAAGGTATTGCAATAATTGCTGAATTGATATTTGCAAATGAGGAATTGATTCATTCGACGAAGTCCAGGGTTTTACCTTTTTCCGGTTAACAAGTTCCAAGCAAGAGTCCTTCGCACCAATCCTTGAAGCATGAAAGCTTTCAAGATCTGCATGAGCATTAAGTTTACCTATTGTAAAAAAGGATTGCATTGATGTAGACAAATTCGATATCAGTGGACTCTTCTCACTAAAGCTGAATGGAAAATTTTAGGCAGCAAACACTGAACATAGTCATCGAGGTAGACCGTAAAGGTTGTTCGAGAATGTAGTTCACTATGAACACGGCATGACCGTCACTAAGATAGAGAATCGGGAGTTCGTGGAATTGAAACGCCATGGAACGTATTTGTGCTTTGTTCCTTTTAGAGATGTACTCAGCATCACACGTGGGTCTGTCAGGTGTGAAGGGGCAACAGAGACTGCAGAATGGGCGTCTGGAGGCCATCATCAAATTGCGTCCTCACAAGATGAAGAGTTCATTTCTTCAGAGAAACCTATCGAAATCGAGTTGCTCTTTAGTATGAGATATGCCCTCCTGTGCCATATTGCCCTCAGCATTAAGAGGAGTGGTTGTTACGAGAGATTGACAGAATTGAAGAATTGTGATTTTTCACTTGCGAATGTTTTATAAATGGTTTAGTTGAGAAATCTTGACTGTATGATGAAGTCTTTCCTTTCCTGACCCCGCAGCATATCATTAGTTCCCAAAGTATTTAATCCGCAAGGAGCTTATATGTGACAATAGACTAACGAAGCGAAGCTATCCAGAGAAAGAGTTCAATTTTAAACCAAAGCGTATTAAACAAATCCAAAGCATTGATTTTTTTTTATTGGGATACGGATTTTAATTTTGAGAGAAAAGCTATGAAATTTGGGCCCTGTTCATAAAACAGAGTAGGAGGCACTGTGTCAGATCAGTGAGTTACTCACTCGAGAAACTACTTCGTATGAGAACGGCGACACTTCGAATTACTGTACTTTGTTCACTGATGGGAGTTTTCAACCATGTCTAGGCAAGTTCAAAGTTTTTTCTAATCAATTAATGGAACACAAATATTTTGAACATAACACAGGTTTTAATGCGAGCTTCGTTAGCTGTACGACGGGAGTAGAACTGGGAGAGGTTGAGGAAAATTGATGTTCATCCTTACACCTGCAGGGGACCCCTAACACGGCGCGTATCGTAGCCGAGGACTGAGACTTTTCGGAGGTTTCGCTCTTTGCACATGCTGTTAGAAGCTTTGGCTCTATTAGCTACGTCAGGGAAAGCTGCGAGTTTCCTTCCTGGTAATGATATAATGATTACCCGCAAGGAAGTCGCACGTCTCATTTCAGAAAACGTGATTGAAAGATAATCCTTTTTTTGTTTTAGTTCACGTAGTGAAACCAATCGGAGGAAAAAAAAAGAGGCGCATTCCGCTTTCTTCTTGTATAACGCTCCTCCATACCCGCCTTCCACTCCATCGCTTCTTCCTTTACCAGAGTACTGTTCATCGTCGGTAAGGCAGAACTGTCTGGCTCGGGGTGAGTTTAGAAAATTATCCGTGTGAACCTTCATACTTTACATTCCTGAATGTCTTGACGCTGGGCGATAGTCGTTGTAAGGTTATCTTTAGTCATTCGCAAACAGTGTTGGACACGTTGCATGCGAAAGGTTCTAGTTACCATAACAGTTATTCCACCCGAGAAGTAATTTTTTAAAATTAGAATTACCCTTCACCAAAGAGTAAGTAGTTACAAGTCCTCCAGGCTCAATTGGCTTAGAACTTATTCCATTTTTCCAGTGAATGGCAGACTTTCCGCATTATTTCCAGACCAGCGTTGTATTGCATCTTGGAGCAGGTTCACATTTGCGAGTGCATTAGCGTGAAATTTGTTAGAATGAGGTATCCTTCCTATAGATAACTTATACCCCAGAAATAGTGTTTTACTTTTGTGCCAGAGTGCAAAATCGCTAGCAGGCACTCTCCTTCGAGTTACCGTAATGCAAAACACTCGCATGCATAAATCCACCATCGAGGGAGCTGCATCTCTTGTAGGTAAAAATGTCCGCACTTAGGCATAAAAGCCGCTCCTCGACATTACTGGCTGCTAGGGTATTGTATTTGATGAACAGGATTTTCAGCTCTCCAACCGATTCCAATGATGGTCGAAGGGGGTAATTATTAACCCTGAGCACTTTCATCTGAAATTGCTCTTCAGTAATATAGCAGAAGACAGGTGTGAGGATGCAGAAAGATGCTTCATCAATGAGAATCCAGCTTGTAGCAAGTAGCATTGGGCACCATTGCATCCAAGCCTCATGAAGTAGCTAAATTCCATTTCCTTCAGGAAAACAATTTTTTTCCACCTTAGCATAATTTAGAAGGAAATTTTTTTTAAATTTGATATTTGTATATTTTTGGAACATGACATCCTGTTCTTAAAGATCTGTTACTTGAAGGCATTTATAATGAGGGCAAAAAAAGAGACCTAAGTCATCTGTCACTCCATCCCCTCCTGTTCCAGCCCCCCTCCTCTTCCTCCATTCCAGTCGAAACTGGTGAATGGCCTTATTTCCTTCCGAGCCTCAAAAGAAAGCATGCATGCAAGGTTGCATTGGAAAAATCCTCCTTCCTCAAAAAACATAATGAAAAGGATACTTAAGACAAAAGCTATCAGCAATGTTGCATGATTGTTATTGATGTAATATTCCATCTCCAATATTTAATCTTCAATCAACTCCAGACATCTCAGAAGAAAACATCCCATTAACATGTGCGCATGACACAGCCATAATGTTTTTTATGCATAAAGCATGGGTAGAGAGAAGGGACAGGAGGGGCAAAGAACCTGAGATAGGAGAAAAGGGGAGGATTATATGATCTCATTATGCAGTGTGACCAAAGAGTCAAGCAATGCTGCCACTGACCCTAATGATATGCTTGTTCCAAAACACAGAGATGTCCCCCAAAAGCATAATCTGAGATATGACCAGTAAAGAATTTTCAGAATGGAAATTTACCTCAAACTGCCAGCCTATTAACAACATAAATGTTTTTCAGTCAGCAACAATCTCACAATTTGACCACCCTCTTCATCTTTCATGGGGAACCTTCTGACATGGGGAAGAGCAACTTGAGGGGATCTTTGGCAGCATTGTGCATATTCTTGATCACTTGCAGCTGTCTCATGAGATTATAAGCAATGAAGCAAGGCAATTGGACCTTTCACTCATTGAAATCAGATACTACAAGCCTCTCAAAAACAGAAATCCATTCATTTGTACAAGAGAGATGAGAAGGTTTGGAGAAGAAGACTTGCACTAAAGTGCTCTGTCTATTCAATCTGATGACTTCAGTTGGAGAAAGAGATTCTGAGTGGTCCATCAGGTGCATTGATGAGCTTGGTCATGCAACCCAGATCTCCATGATTCCATTTCAGCTTAAATCGCTCCAAGATCTGCCAAAGAACACAATCTTATTTCACACTGAACAATTTTGTTAAATTTTAAGTGAACTTTATACATTATTTCCCATGGTATTAGATTTTGTGTGCACTTGAGAAATTCTGACATACCATATGATAATCATTGATACCAACAATTATGATATGATGACAACTGATATTAAGTTTTGCAACATGATTACTGATGCATTGAAAATCTTGATCTCATAGGGATAATTTTTCATGCTTCTCAAAGCATGAAAATTATGCTCTATGAGATCAAGATGAAAATTTAGTATTGATTAGTGACAGTAGACAAAGCACACAGAATTGGCATTGGAAGGCTCCAAACGTGCATCAAGGATGGGAGGGCAGAGTAGCTACATATGCCAAAACTTGATCAGTGAGAGACATGTATGAAATTTGAATATAAGTGAGGGGCCAAAGGCATTATTTGCCCCACTATACTCTTGTTTTTTTTAACCAAATATTGTGAAGAGCACAGGGAAATTGGAATATTTCTTAATATGAAATTGAAAGATGGGACTAACACGAAGAAGGAGAACAAGGAGATTCTGTTCCGCAAGGCGGCGGCCAATGCAGGCACGAGGCCCATATCCAAAGGGCAAGGTGAGGAATGGGTGGACTTTCTTGTAATCCTCAGCATCCCTCAACCATCTTTCTGGTCTAAACTCATGGGCATTCTGAAAATACCTCTCCAGGTTACATATCACCTGATTCCCTGTCACAATCACAACCTGGGAAGATAAAGGAAATATATTATGAAGGACTGGCTCCATTTAAGCATTTTTAAAAGCTGGCAAAGAAAGTAGGCCTATAAAAATTTCCTCCTCAATTGCAGACCATAATGAGAATGTACCCAAGTAACACAAGATATTCCATCAATGTTGCTTCTATGTGTAAATGTCCAAAATGTCAACGTTGCTCAATTTTTGCAAAAGAACATTGCATTGATGTTGCAAACCGTTACTTATTCATTACATATATGTTGCAGAAATGTTTCAGAACTTATGTTGCTGCAATACGGATGGAAAATGTTGCTTCACTGGCCCCTATTCTCAACCTACTGTATATTGGCATTACTACCTGGAAAAGCATAGGTTTCACTGGCCCTGAACTGGACCGATATCCTGCCATTATTGAATGATTTATTTCGTCATTTCGTACCATAGATTTTACTTCTCTACCCAGACATTCCCATCAACAGGACAAAGCTTGTTACCCCTACCCATGCACAAGCCAGCCCAAGTAACACAGCATGTTGATGAAACATTTCCGAAATGTTGCCTATGTTGCTCTATGTTGCAAGTTGCTGTACAACATTGAGAAAACATTGCTTCAATGTTTTCACTTGGAATGTTGCTGCGGCNGCAAGTTGCTGTACAACATTGAGAAAACATTGCTTCAATGTTTTCACTTGGAATGTTGCTGCGGCACTTCTACGAATGACATTGCAACATTAGCTATCAACATTGAGAGAATGTTGACACTCTTGACATCGACAACGTAGTGACAACATTCTGATACAACATGGACTTAAAAGTTTTAGAGAATTGAAAAGTTGTCCTCCTTGCCACGAGATGGAGACCTAAGTTTCGCTTTCTCACAGTACACACAAGCGCCCTTCTCCCTTTCCTTGCAATAGTCCCACACAGGAATGTCTAGTACTTTGCCATATGTCTCACATTGTCTCATTATAGGAATCAATGAACATGGACACTTCATCACCTGTTATCTTCATTTTCCAGACAGATTAATGGGGTCAAGGTAAAAAAAGCTCATATTCCCAAAAAGAACTCTTTTCCAAGAATTCGTCGAATTTATCCTACAAGGCAATAAAAACGATGGTAGAGAGTCTGTGGTCTCAATACTTCATATCCTCATCCTGTATACTAGCTGAGGAAACGAAAGATTGATCTCGTGGACACTCCATAGAACATTGCGGTCGGACCTTTTCCTGTGTTGTGCAATTTAGCACATCAGGGGAAGATCACCTCTAAAAATGTACTGTCTCCTGGCTGTACATGATACAGATACTGTATTATGAATGGGTAGAGGGTAAAACCAGTACAGGCTTCGTCCTGTTGATGAGAATTTCTTGGTAGAGAGGTAGAAAGTATATGGTACGAAAGGATGAAATAAATAATTCAATATCGGTCCAGTTCAGGACCTGTGAAGCCTACGCTTCTCCGTAATGCCAATATAGACCCAGATTAGTTGCCCGTGAAGGAACGTTTTTAATCAACATTGCAGCAACATAAATCTTGAAACGTTTCTCCAACATATATGTAATGAATAAGTAACGATTGATGCAAAATTGTTCATCAACATTTCCTAAACGTTGCTGGAATATCTTGTGTTACTTGGGATAGTACAGTTTTGGAGGCAATCTTCCCCTGGATGTATAAAATATGGCACATTTCAGGAAAAGGTCCACCCACAATGTTCTATGGAGTGTCCACGAATTCAGTCTTTCTTTTCCTCATCTAGTTCTCAGTATGAGGAAATGAAGGATTGAGATCACAAACTCTCTACCATCATTTTTAATGTCTTGTTGGATGTAATCAACGAGTCCTTGGAAAGGGTTCTTTTTAGGAATATGAGCTTGCTTTTGATCTTGGCCCCATGAATCTGTCTTGAATATGAGGATAACAAGTGATGAAGTGTCCATGTTCACTGATTCCTATAATGATACACATGGCAAGGTACTAAACATTCCCGTGCAGGAAGATTCCAGGGAAAGGGAGAAGGGCATTTTTGTGTACTGTTCCAAAAGTGAGACCTACATCTCCATCTCATGGCAAGGAGGACAACTTTACAATTCCCTAAATCTGCTAAGTCCATGTTGGATCAGAATGTTGTCACTACATTGTCAATGTCAAGCATGTCAACATTCTCTCAATGTTGATAGCAAATGTTGCAATAATGATCATAGAAGTGTCACAGCAACATTCCAAGTGAAAACATTGAAGCAATGTTTTATCAATGCTGTACATCAACTTGCAACATAGAGTAATATAGGCAAAATTTTGGAAACATTTTCATCAACATACTGTGTTACTTGGGGTATGAGATGTTGCACATGTTTTGTGTGCATTTACATCTACTTAACAATCAAATGGACAGAAAAATATGATTTGTATGGTTTCAGAGCTACAGGTCCTTCATATACCAAGAGTGGAGGAGATTCCAGGTCTCTTTAGCAAGGAAATGGTCTACTCCATGGGCTCATTGAAATGTATAGTTATCACTCACTTGCCTTTACTACTGTTCAAGTTAAAAAGTTGTCATCCATGAAGGAGGAAGGACGGAAGGACTCACACCAGCAGGGATGAGATAGCCAGATAGGACAGTGTCATGGGGGAGGATTCGGCCAATCCCAATTGAGATGGGCACAAGGCGCATGGACTCTTTCATCACAGCCTTCAAATACGGAATCCCTGCCAGGGTGGAGGGTGTGATGGTGTTCATGGAGTTGTGGTGTTTTAAGATCTCCTTCACTTCTTCTTGTGCCTGTGCTTGAACACTCTCCCATTTTGCCAAGTGATACAGGATAAAGCCAAGGGAGAAGCTTGTCTGAAATACACAGTCCATGGAACACACAACATAGCAATCTTTGGTTCACTCAATGCAATTGAAAAGAAAAACAGGAATTCAATAAACTGTCAAATGCATCATTTCCAACAAGTAACTGAAAGAGGTAGGGGTGTGTCAACTGCATTATTTACCCAATGGCAAGATTTTGTCAGTCATGGTCTTGCGTTTATTGGCTGGAGCCAGTAATGATGCTGATTATGAAAAGCTCATCTGACAGCCACAGAGAGATAACATCATGCATAAGAAAGCAAGATATTATTTTCAGCGTTAGGAGAATGTGATCTTTAGAGAGAAAGAGAGAGAGAGAGAGAGAGAGGGGGGGGGGGCAGGGGTGCATGCACACCTGTTCTATTCCTCTCTCTTGGTGCAACCTGCAGCCTACATGAGATCTCCAGAAAGAACATTACCTCTAGAGAAACTGCACACAAACACCTGCAAATTTAAGGTTGCAATGCAAAAGTACTCCAATCAGAAGCAAATATGTAAGAAGAAATCTTTTAAGCAGAAGCTCCTGTTTGATGGATTTCATGGAATTTATAAATTAAAATAGAACATGTTCTGAAGAGAAAATCTTCAATGTGAAGTTGAAGATATTGTAAGTTATAGGACCCATGTCCATGTCCATACCCATACCTCTGCAATAAAAACAGTAATTGCAGACTCCAATTATGGAAATATCAGCATGTACCAAATGCTTAAGAGTATGACTCATGCCCCAAATATCAAGGAAACTATATTTTGGTGCATAAGAAGACGTGTCAAAACTTTGCATTCAAGAGCATACCAAACCACCTTCTGAAAGCAACTCTTACTCTGAGCACACCTTTTCCTTGTGTGATGGCAATGAAGTGAATTTGCACTTGAATTTTGTCCAGGAAGACCAGTAACAGCAGTGCCAACACTGATGCATGCTGTAAAGAGTGGTGACAGTCCCATCATAACCATTGCGACTGGTATGAACTGTGACCATCAAAGAGGTTGCAATGTAGCTCTTTCCAGTTGGGAATATTGGCCTTCTGAGACAACCATTCAATGGGTAAATGCTTTAATGTGGGACAACAGAAGCATCAGTGTGAAAGAAATCATGGCTGAAGTTGACAGTAAAGCTGCTGCAACTGGTGGGATCATCTGTTTGCACTTGCAGTACTCCAAAGTTTGCATGAGGTGGGGGTCCCTGCATCATCCAACAGAGGGGCCCATAAAGAGCCAGTTCAAAATCTTCAAGAACTATTCAAATAGTGAAAGTTTTACGGTGAGAGGTTTATTCACTCATCATTGATGGAGAAAAAACCAGGCTAAATCATTTTGCATGAGAGAAGAAACATGAGAGTATTGAATGGTGGCACACTATCCTGAACTTCCACTATCAGATCTTCATTCTTAAATCTTTTGAAGGGTGCCCTGCACAGCTAGCACCATAAGTGGTTCCAGGATGTGAAAAATGTCAAGATAGTTGTGCAGAATTTTACTACTAGTTTTTTTTTTTTAACAGGGGCATAAGTTCATTACAGCTGATATAGCATATAGCATTATAGCTGATACAAAAATCTAAGTTGGTAAGGCATTGTAGTTTCTACTTACATCATGTCTGCAGGTCACAACATGTGGCAATGAAATGCTTATTCCAGGATTCATGATACAGTAGTAGGATATATACTGCACAGTAGTTGTAGAATATACATTAGTAGTGACAAGAATTTCATGCAACAGAACAGTTTAAGATCAAGAAAAGATAGCTCACAGTGTCAATTCCAGCAAAGATCATGTCAGTGACCATGGTGATTATATCTTTTCGGTCTAATTGAGGATCCATGAGATAAGCCTCAAGAAGTGTAGGATTCTTCTCCCTTCTCTTGCTCACTTCCAACTTCATTTCTTTCTCCTTTCTCTCCACATGCCTCTCTGCTATCCTGTTGACAACATTGTCCATCAATGGACTACTACAGGACTTTCCAGTGCATCTGGGAAATCTGACAGAAGAATTTGGGATACATCAGGGCCAATTTTTCATGTCCTGTAAGGTTTTAAAGACACCAGGTAAAAGTAGCAGAAACAGACATGTATGTTGGCAGGATGTGAAGGCATGAAGTTGATTACTATTATGTATCTGAAGAAAAAAAATTATCGTCAAAGCTTATTGATAATCCTCACATATGGCATTTGCATCCATAGAGAAGGTGAGGTGATGCTTATGACCTATTCCAGCATATCAATTACAATGCAGTGCCAAAATGCATTCACTTATATCTTGGGTACCTATTCCCAATGAAGCTAATGAAGCTAAGAGATACAGAGTTTGACAAGCAGGGAATGAGGAAATTAAATAATAAATGGAAAATTTGCAGAAGTGTTCACAAATTTTGGTCACTAGTGTATGCACCTATGCACTGGAATAAGTTGGTTTCAGAGCCTTGGTAGATTATCTCATGTAACATATTCTTTGGAGAAGAAAGAAAGAGACCATTTATAGTTCCATTCTATCTGTCTGTGTTCCCACTCTTTATGATCTGACAGGAACTCCATACAATTGCCCTACTTGCTATGGAAACAGTCAGACTTTTTTGAGAAAGTTGTAGGTTGAGGTCATATTTTTTTCAAATTCAAGCCATGAACTTGATTTTTACAAGATTTTAAAATTTAATTTTGTTCATAGCATCCAGACCCCCAGAATCCTGACAAATTGCACACACATAACCATCACCTGCAGTAAGTTTCTTTCCAGCCTTTGTAGCTGAAAAATCAATTGTGTAGAAATGGAGAACAAAGCAATGGCAACAGTTGCAAACTGATCTCATGGCATGCATGGTGACCCCTTCTTTTCCCATCTCCCAATGTTCTGTACCTGCCTCATCCCATTCCCAGGGTTTATTGAAATTAAAGGCATAATATGGGACTGGGCTTGCCCAGCATGTTCTTACTGGAGATGCTACCTATCTCCTTACTATTAAGCTCATCCCCTGTTAGAAAATTGGCTTCATTTTCCTTTATTTTAATGCACTATGCTCCTTGCAAATTAGTTTTCTGGCAATATCAATTCAAATTGAGTAAGCAAAATTAGTTTTTCATCAATCATATAGAAGAACATGGAAATCAAACATTTTCAACCCCACCTTTAACTGAAAATGAAGTATAGGAGAATATGGGAAATATGGAAGACCTGTAGAGGAAATCCTGAGCACGGCAGAGTTTCTGATAGGCAGGTGTGTTAATCCAGTGCCACAGAGGAAAGGAAAGTTCTGTATCCATGACAGCTTCTAGGCTCTCCATGGTGGCCACAATTATCTCTTCTGTTTCCCCACTAGATCCACATGCATTCATGCAGTCCAAACGGGTTTCCAATGCCACTGCTCCTATGACTATAAATACCATTCATCAGTCACAATTTTTTTAATCAGTACACATCAGGGCTGGGAAATGACAGACATTCCATACTTGTAACTCTCTTGCTTCACATCAAATAATTTTGTTACTCATTAACTTCCATGTTACAGTCATGCTCCCATTCCTTTTCAACAAGGATAAGGTCATGGCTGGTATACCCTTCGGAGGCACCCCATAATATCCCATGTTGAATTCCGTAGGCATGGTAACCCCTTCAGTGCCTAAGGAATTCAACATGGGATATTACTCTTTATGACTTGGTGCTCAATCTTGAAATCAGTGAGCAAAATTCTTCCCCCTCTCCTAAATTGAGACTTAGCTTTCATGTTGCCAATGATTTGACTCAAGGGTAAAAATTGGGGCAGCTACCTTTTATCCATTAATTGAATATTAATCAACCCTTAAATACCTTCCAGAGTCCTTGTTTTATACTTTCAGCTTCTCTGCATAGTACTAAGTTTTGCCAAAGAGCCAAAAAAGAATTTTTATGGGGACTGGAATCCAATGAAATGATGGCTTGTAAAAGGCAGTTGTTCTTGAGCTTACTCTTCAGCAAATAATATGCTGTTTTTATTTTAAAGAGGAAACACAAGAACAAAGGCAATGCTCTCTGGGTAGTGAAAAACATAGCAAGGGCCTCATGAGGGGATGAGAAAGAAAGCATTAATAGAACTTTCAGTTAATTCTGAGCGTTCTTGTCCAGTCGCAATACATGTGAGGAATTGGGTAAAACGGAATGGACATTAGATGAGAAGGAGACAGCAGTATTGCATTGGGCCAATGTCCATCATGTCTGTTTTCCACCAGCACCTAGGTGCCATGCACAGTGTTAAAACGCACTTAAGATATACTGAGATACAGAAAGGTGGATTCCTTCCGTGACAACCCAATTCCATGCAGGCATCGGGGCTGGCTGTGCAAGACAGTAATGACAGTTCAGAATGAACATGAAATGGTATATTGCATTTCATCTGCCACATACAGTGAGGAAAGCAGGAGCCCAATAAAATTCTATTATTATATTAAAATATTTAGGAAAGCAATAATTTGCCTATTTTTCAGACTGAAAAATAATAATCCATAAATATTTCTCTTTGCATCAGTAAACTGAGACTCTCAACTTCCTGAGGCCAAATAGAATATTTCTCACTCATATTTGGTTTGAAGAAGGAAAATTCTTGTTTATTTGACCATTGTCAAAATTATGCATTTGATTATCCTTTTATTGTATCATATGATGATTTGAAGAAAGCTGATGAAATAAATGTGAATGATGAACTGACAAAAAAGCTTTCCTTAGTTGTAAACAACTTCTTGAAACCTATCACTCTAGTTTTGCACTTTGCTCCCATCCCTCTTATAATGAAATTCCTTTCTCCCTTGATGGAAAAATGATAGTTGCAGACTTTCAAGAGCACACTTGGAGATCTCATGGAGGAGGGAAGGGACTTCTCCATTCTCATCCCGCAGTCTCCCTAATCTCTGTACAAATTCCAGAGCAATCTCATCCACGACAGGCAGGAAGACCTTCACACTGTCCAATCCACTCAATGGCTTCTGCAGGGCTGACCTCAGTTTCCCCCACACTGGCCCATTCCTGAAAGTAAGTGCATATGCATTACTTGTCCACAAGAGCACATCCTTGCACTTGCACATGTAATGAGCCCCATTCCAGGCAGCCACCAGCCTATGGGTAGGGCTACCCATTTGCTTTCATTGAAAAGTACAGTACGTGTCAAAATTAGCGTACCAGGGTTATCTCTTATTCAATGAGAGACATAGGAAAACCTTTTATATCAACAGAAAGTACATATAGAGCCCTGATCTCAATACAGAGTATAATCGCCCTGCACTTAGACTACAGCACATAATCGACCTGGCATCAAGTCTGGCAATTTTTTGGTGAATTCTTCACTCAGATTCTCCCACTCCTCCTTAATTACTGCTCTTAGTCTTGATTGTTCTGGGGTGCTGATGTGCCACTTTGACCTTCAAGAGAGCCCACACATTCTCTATGGGGTTGAGGTCGGGAGACTGTGACGGCCAGTCCAAATGGAACACCCCATTCTCAGCCCTCCAGTTGGTCACCTGCTTTGAGGTGTGCTTTGGATCATTGTCCTCCTGCAGCACCCAAGTCTTTATTGAATCGGAAAACATAGTAGCTGCAGAAGGCAAGAGGGTATGCTCATAAATGGTCTTCAGCAGATGCACATCCAGGTTCTGGGTGAAGGTGCAGATCTTTCCAATCCCTCCAGCATAGAGGCAACCCCAAGCATTCACCTTACCCAGGTGTTTGATAGTCTGAGCGATCATTCTTTTCCCTCCACCATTCCTGTCTCTTGATATATTTTAAGCCAACCGGCCTACACTGGCTTTGAGATCTTTTCGTACTTCACGATAGTGCAGAAGAGAGCTTTGGATGCAAGGGATGAGTGGCATGAAATCAATCTCATAGCTATTCATCATTGAAAGTAGCATTTTTCCTCATGTCAATGAAAAACAGCTGAGTAACTGGGATGTAACAAACTAGAGTCACCCATTTTTAGGCAGATCAGCACTCATGGGCAGCTGTCCTATGCAAAATGTTTGAGCTGTGTAGGTTCCCTATCTTTTGAGAAAACCCTGGTATGTTAATCTTGACAACCACTGTGTATGAAATATATCATTTTATACATTCATATTTCAAGATGGTTCACGGGTAACCAAACTAGTGCATTCCAAATCAACAAGATATAATTGGAATTTTTGAAAAAGAGAAATATATTCCTTCCCTTTAGTTTTTCGTGATCCATCGCTGCAGTCCATAAGATACCAACCAAGAACACTGTAATCTCCCTCAGAATTGAGAATCAAACAAAGACTCTTAGAGAAGTGCAAAATATGTCAAAGTAATCTGGAAAGTAACAGGGACTCATTTAAATATAGACTGATAATTTTGAATGCTGTTCCAATTATTTATGAACACTTACTTCAGTAGGAGTAGTAACAAGCTCAATCAGGATTGCCAAAATAATCAAAATCATTGAGACACTTAGCACTTCAGCTTCACTGCACAATGATACATTCAGTCCCTGTGACTGAAGGAAGCTATTTTCAAGAGGATAGGAAAATATAGAATTTTTTGCAATTGGATTATTGTATATATGTGAAGAAAGAAAAAAAAAACAGGGGGAAGGCAATTTTAAAGCCATAGAAGAGAGTAGTATAAAGAAAGAGGGGGAACAAACGTGGGGAGAAGGCCTCCATCATTGTAGAGATGAGGACACTGGAGACGATACTTAGCAAGAGCTGTGTGGCTTTTCCTCAAAGGAAATTTCCCTTCCAAACGGAAGACAGTCTGGATGTCATCAGGGTTAAAGAGGTGAACCACATGGGTGCCACCCAAGTTCTCCTTCACTATCTCTCCATACCTTTCATATTGTCTCCTCCCAGCTTCATCCAGTCTCTTCATCTCATACTCTCCTGTATGCATAGAAATCAAGCATGGCTCAGAATTGATATCAAATGAGGGCCACATCTTGGTGAGCTGACCCTTTTCAACATAGAAAAGTGACAAGAAATGAGAACCAATGATAACATGAAAAAAACAGAAATTAATATCAAAAAGTGATGTTCTTCTAAATGCTTTAAATGAATGAATTTCATGTAGTAGACTATTTGGGTTCCCAACTTTGAGAAAATAGAAAAACTAAATTTAAATGAGCAAAAATGATTGCACTTCACTATGTACTCAGTAGCCAAAGATTTCAGAACTGGCTTATCCACAACAGAATTTGAAAACAATGCTTCCAGCTAAGGAGCATATATTGCCAGGCTGCTTCAGACATCAATGAAAGTAAGCAATATCTTGATATAAATATCTTCACAAGAATATCTTGCTATCATCATTTGTCACACAAATTGATATTATTGTCATTAATCATTTATATTCAATTTTGATGTCCATAAATATAAATGTCCAGCTCAGTAAAAGTGTCAGACTCATTACTCCAGAGGCAGCCTGTGAGAGAAGGTATATTAATAACCAACTGATCACCCTCCAATTTATGAGGGAGATAGGCAAAAGCACTACATCCTTGTGAAAAATGGAGAATCCCTCTAAAACAATTGAAGAGCCCATGAGAAGAACAATCAAACTCAGTTTTGACAAATTTGCGATAGTGCTGCCACCTATATGTTTGTTGTACAAGATTTCACTTCTGATATTCTTAAAATTGCAAAATGATCAATGATACTATAATGTATATCATTTTAGTATCTTGAATCAATTAGGAGCCATATGGTTTTGAAACTTCATTTTTATTTTTCTCAAAACAAAAACCTAAATATTACTTTGATTATTCTTCCCAAAGGCTTTCAATTATTAGCCAAGCATAATATGGTACAAGGGAGATGCCAGCAGTTGAAATCAGCACACTATCAATACTGAGGGTGGAGGGTGAGAAAGAAGCATACATATTATGGACCAATCACTGGTGAGTACAGTGAGAAAGTTTCCCTATGCTGTGAATTACATAATAAAATCTGTTTTTGATACAAACTTTGCTAAAAAATGAACCAAGTCTGTGTCTAGGAAAGGAAGCTCATTATATTAAAAAAAACATAGTCCCAGCCTGCTTCCCAGCCAGAAATACCCAAAAAAAAGGTACTTAAATAAGATATTCCATGGTATTGCTACCAGTTCTTTCATTTCCAGGATATTTATTTTTTACTTGTCCAGTGAAAAAAATGAGAATATTGTAATAACTTCTCTCCTTCATTGCCTTCTCTCCAAAGATAAAATCAATTTCATACGTTGGGCAATAGGAAGAAATGGGGGCCATGTCACCTTCCCTTAGGCAACAATAAAATGAAAAATCATAATATTGCAGGCAAGCAAAACATTTTTGTTCAGGATAAACTGTGTTATCTTACTATAAAACTTAATATATAAATATATTACTTGTCTACTATAAAAAAGGCTCCTATAGAAAGATAGAATTCACAGAATGTTTGGTATAAATATGTTGATAGCACAAAAAACTGAAGAAGATTCAATGGACAAATGTAATTCATCTGTTACTATGGAAATGATAAGTGTGAGGACTGCAAACAAAAGTTGATGATAATTTGGAAGATAATTGCAACAGATGATAGTGTGTCACCCATCCATAATCATGGAATGACTGCCACCAATTAATTATTTATTCCCAAATTGTTCTTTTCCAATACCATCAGGTACTAGAATATCACTAAATTAAAGGATACAGCCACTGCAAAGCAGCTCAGTTATATAAACAGAAAAATACTTTGATATATTGCTAGGAGAGCAACTTTGACCTCTGGGGGAGAGAGTGCTGGGGTAACATTTGTAACATTTACTAAGAGAGGGACAGATAGCTCTCCCCTGTCACATTCAGTCAAATTGAATTCACCCCTGGCTCTGGAAGGTTATATGGGGCCTCAGTGGGAAGTACCAAAATGGCCAAGTGCTCAGATACACAATTTGGTCTTGATCATGTATCACACTTTCGGGGATAACGCCCGCCCAAAGAAACAGGAAAGAAAGGAGTGTATCATTTTCAGACCCTTTTTTAACATTAGTATCATTGGGTTGATCACAATCTCAAGCTAAAATATATATACTATTTACATCTCATTTCATTATTGAATTACTAGCTCTGAATGATACAATATTATAATTATCAATTAATGGATAACGAGGCCAAAACCTTTTGATATTAAATCACCACAGACAGTTTAATGACTTTTTCAACTCTCATTTTTCTCCAGATAGCACTAGTAAATTAGTTTAAAACTTTCCCATACCTTCATGCTCCATTAGAGTTTACCTCTACATGATGGGGAGCAAGCAACACAAATTATATTCAGGGTGTCCAAGAAGTTAGTTTACTGATGGATTTTTAGCTATACTAATTTCTTATTAACCTTTACATGCCAAGCATTTCCATATTCAAACAGAGCATGCAAATGGAAAATTTCTAGTTTTGCCATATTTGAATATGGTAACATTTGCATTTTTCTGCATAAATGCTGTGTTCAAATTTGGCAAAATTCACATTTTTCCACTTTCATGCTCTGTTTGAATTTGGAAACATTTGATGTGTAAAGGTTAAGTTAGATTTACTATTAATGTTGTATGATGTTGTTTTTATTAGTTATCATTATTGTTACTTACATGTTTTTATTTTCATTTTCAGTAAAGACAGAGATGCCTAAAGATAGAGATGACTAAAGATCCATGGATTTTTTGTACTTAAAAAATTGTGGATGTCAGGAATAAATTTTAAAGTGGTGGCTATAGTTTTCCAAGATAAATTTCCTGATTCAAAAGCACCAAGGTAGACCAGCAATTCACAAGCTTGCAAGAAGTTTGATCAAACAGGTTCTGTGAATGAATGAATTCTGTGAAGTCACAGAATGTGTTTGATAAACTTATTGGCAAGCTTGTGAATTGTTTGTCTGCCTTGATGTTTTGAATCAGGAAATTTATCCTGAAAAGCTTATATCAAGGGTTTTTTTAAATTATAACTTGATAAATATTGATATTCATAAAAAGTATTTATAAACTTCTGCATTCGGCATCAAAAGACCATTCAAATGATATGCCATTCATCAAAATTGGTTGAAGTTCAGTGATCCATAAGAAAATAGTTCCATTCTTTGAGAGTAAGTATACAGGGTGGGCCATAAATATTCTCACCAAATTGAAGTCTTGTATTTCCTGTACTAATAACTTCTCATGGAATCAATTGAATCTCAACAAGACACAAGGGTTCACAGTAACTATCCACAAAATATTTTCAATGCATCCTTGTTCTTCTTGAAGGCAACCTGGAATCTTTGAGTCTGCCGGTTGATTGCATTGGACAGACATGGTTTCACTCTTCTTTTGGCATGAACCTTAACTGGTTTTGGTTGCTGGATTTTGTTTATGGGCACTTGCTTCCAGCAGATATCATACACAGTAATCCATTTGGTTACAGTCAGAGTTGTATGGGGATCATTTGTATTTTCAAATCATATCTGGCTTATGGTCAGCCAGACAATTTTTTGAACCTCAAGCCTTTTTCAGGCAGAGAAGGATTGATATAAAAATAGCCAAGGTTGGCCACCAAAGCAACACTTCCATTGAAGTACAAAACATATTTTTCTTTGCTGTTTTTAGGCATATGAAAATAGGAAAGTTACAAGTGGTATGAATATTTGGTTCTGGGGCAGAAGGTAGAAATTTTTTAGTCTAATTGCAAGAATGTCGACGGTATAAAATGCTGAAAGGCAGAATGGGAGAGAGTAGGATATGTCAAAGTATGACATGGTGGAACGGAGGAAATGTTGAAAGAACAAAAAAGTCTAAAAAACGTCTAAAAACGTAGAATGTGCTTGTCTAGGGCTAAGTCCTTTTTTTCTAAATAGAGTTAGCCTTTGTCTCTTGTTTAGTTCATGCTTCCGTAGACTGTATGCTCAGCCTTCTCAAACTGGAATGATCATCTATCTTCAGAGATATGTGATCATTCCAGTTATTGTTAGTGACCTTGAAAGGGGTTCAAACCATACTTGCCCATGAACTAGCAGTCAGTGTCGTTCCTTTCCTTGTCATCACTCCCTTGGCTTGTTATTTTCTGGATCAACTGGGTTCGTCATGGCATTCACGCTTCACAAGACTCAAAAAGGTGGTGCTTTGCTCGTGAATAGTGGTTATACAGGGTGTTTCACTTGCCATTGGCCCCAAATTTTTCCTGATAACTTTCAAACTAATTGACGTAATGTAGTGAAATGTGACACAGACATACCTTGATGTATGGGAAGCATAATGACATCATAGAAAGTGTTGAAAGTGTCCGCCATTAGCATCCAGGCATGCTTGAACGCGCCGCTCCATGTTACGGAAGATTTTCACCAACATATCGGGAGTCACAGCCTCAATTTCCCGCCGAATGTGGCCAAAGTCCCTTGGAAATGACACGATCATCAAAGAATGAAGCAATTTCAGCCATTCTGACATTGGAGGTGTGGCAGGTTGCACCGTCCTGCTGAAAGAAGCCAGTACTGATTTCCTCGTCGTCTAACTGATTCACAAACTCATGGAAGATGTCCATGTAGACTGCGTTATCCACCGTTGTGTGGAAGAAGATGAGGCCGATAATGCGGCCCCATCCAGCGGGCATGCTGAAAGGGAAAGTGTACCGCAACAAACCACGGACTGTCATGGCACTGCAAGAAAACATTCGGCGGGAAATTGAGGCTGACTCCCGATATGTTGGTATATCGCGATATCTTCCGTAACATGGAGCGGCGCATTCAAGCATGCCTGGATGCTAATGGCGGACACTTTCAACACTTTCTATGATGTCATCATGCTTCCCATGCATCAAGGTATGTCTGTGTCACATTTCACTACATTACGTCAATTAGTTTGAAAGTTATCAGGAAAAATTTGGGGCCAATGGCGAGTGAAACACCCTGTATGTATACCAAAGATAAGTCACGGGATGGAAAGATTTACTGGAGATGCCAGGATCAAAACTGCAAAGTTCGTCTTGTGGCAGGGAGAAACTATTTTGAAGGAGACATCCAATGTGCATCCTAGGCACAAGCTTCTCACCAATAACCATGTCAAGGGACGGCACAACAAGTTGGGTAACGGTTTAATTGGCCGAAACCATACAACATTCCACTTCCTGGATGTCATCGCTGAGGAGCAGTCAGCAGTTCAGCAGCGACTGATTGTGCTGGACAGGGGAGAACCACCACAAAAACGAAAGAAATGCGACATTACCAGAGACACAAAACTGAAGAAGATAACAGAAGAGTTTGATTTGAGGCTTTTGCTTGATTTCTTGAGAGGTTTAGCGTACACAATCAAGTTTTGAAACAATTTGACAATTGGACATTTGACTGGATCTTTGCCTATAATTTCTTGATGTGCTTATCGACTCAGTAAAAGTAGCTTTCGACATTTTTTCCATTCCATGAATCGGCCTTTCGCCACTTTTTTCTTTGACCATAAGGACGTTCAATGTTTTTGGTCATTTGACTAAAGAGAATTTGACATTATGCCATTTGACCATTCGAGAGGATACCGAATATTTATGGCCCACCCTGTATGGTTACATCCATGAAAGGCATAGCAACCCTTCTAGGACTTCTCAAATCAGTATTTAAATGCAACCCAAATTTACCAATGATCAAATGAATAGTTTGAAAACTGTGAACACATAGAAAGCATGATGGCAGTGATACTTCTGGTTGCCATTCATGGCCTGACATCTGCAATAGCATCATATGACACCATACCGAATCCAGGGTCAGCCTTATCACTATTTCACCTATAAATAAGCTTGCAGGTTTAGGTCTAGGTTTAGATATTGCCTGATCTGGGAACACAATAACCTCCTTCCACCATGAGGAACCTTTTGAAGATCTTCATGCAATTTTTCAGGACTATGAATCTGCCATTTAGAGAAAAAGCTTAAACTTGTTTTCAGCAAAATAGTAGTATCTCTGCTTTATCAACACTTAGGAATAGAGAGAAAAGAAACCAACTTGTGAGATGGGATGAAAGGAGGAACATACCAATGAGAGGGAAATACTTCCAGAGGGAGCCAATGATAGGAATGGAATGTGGCCCAGGAACTTGTGAGAATGGCTTCACCTTCTCTCTGCTTTCCCTTCCCTGGCTGATGAATCTATGAATGCATCTCACCATGTGCTCTCTCCCCACCATCTCTACCTCCAACATATAGCCCACTACAGTATTATTCTGGCACTTCACACTAGAAAGAGTATCCTTTTACTCATTTTTATAAGGTCTATTGATTAGAATAGAATAGAATAATGAGATTTCGAGCACAAGATGCAATTAGCACAACATGAATGGGAAAGCAAGAAGTGGAATTATTATTGCCTTGTTAAGAGGATGACAGATTTTTTTTTTTAATTGAAAAGTAAACTTAAAATGTACACCTACATAGAGAGGGGGTCATTTAATCACCTATGAACTACAACCCTTGATTACCTGTAGTTGACACTCATCTATGGAAAAAGATGCCTATTATGAGCATTGAAACAATTGAAATATGGTGTTAGTTCTTGTTTGCTGGCATGGTATGATCTTTTTAGCATTCTCTTTATTCTTAACCTTTTCATCCTTTCTTTCATTCCAAGACTGCCCAATCAGTTATTCACAAATATAAACTTACTTCAAGAAACAAAACAATACAGAGGAAAAAAATAGCATCAAATGGTTACTTAGATTTTCCTATCCCTTCAGAACTGCCATATTTTCAGCAATTTTTTCATTGAAAGAAATTTTCAATTAAAAAACTTATAGAACCAAATTCATTGCATGTTGACATGGTATGAGACTATCTAGGATATTTGGAAAGAATGATGCATCACCAACATCTGATGTTCAATCTCAATGTCAATAATGATATTTGACGGCCAGAAAGTGGATTATTGAAAGCCAGACATCAAATAGATTTCATGTTTAAAACTGTCAACTGCTTAAAAAAAAAAAACCAGTTGCATCTTTGTTTTGCTAGAGGATGGGGTCAAGGCTATAGGGAAATAATCCCCCCCGTTTCTAATAGCAAAAGGATTAATACATACTAAACCATTTACCAAAGCCAAAAAAACATTTGTGTAGTTTGACATTTACTTATTTATTTATTCCTTTCAAATATAGAGAAATTGTGCAGGGCAAATTGCCCCCTGAAATAAAAAAAAAGAGCAAGAAGAGCTTTCAATGTCATAAGGAGATGGGAAAAAGGAGCACATATTAGTCAAGGAGTTCAATGTTCATCAATCTTGTCATGGCTGAGATGGGGGATGTGTGCAAACTGTTTGCCTAAGGACTGTCATTTGAACATCCATTTTCCCGAAGTGCCCCTTCACCAAATGAAAACTAGTCTAATGTGTTTCATTGAACAACACTCACTGAAAGTACAATTAATTGAAAAGGTCAACTTTATTTCAGATTATATCACTCAGAATTTAAAGTCCAAGAGCATGTAAGCAAGTCAGTGCAGTGTCAAAAATGAAAATTGTGGGAGACTGCCTTGAAGAAGTCAATGATGGTTCTTGTATCATATTTCTCCATGATCCTTCTGTGTTGTTTGTCATTTTCTTAAACAAGTCCCCGATAAGAACTTTCTCTGGGGCTCCAACTGCAAGCTGAGCTATTTCCTTGACTGTCCTGTGTTGTCTGAGATTCTTTTGCCAGGACAAAGATTGGTAACATTCCATAGAGCTAGGTAAGAAGGCTTGTCCTCTAGGTCTCCTTATTGGGTGCCTACCATTGATGGAAATTTCCCCAGTCTCCACGTGTTTCGGTAGATTTGGTGACATCGGTGAAATGGTGTTTTCAAGGAATGGTCATTTGGGGATTCAAACCCTTGGCAAATCAGTCATTTGGTCAATCAATGATTTGACCATGATGACCATTCAAAGAAATAGATCATGGTGAACAGTTATAGACCCTGGAGGATGCAAAAAATCTTTTTGTTCTGCACTGAAATTCATGTGTGGGGTGTCATTATTGGAGGTGACTCTGAGGGCATTGCTGGAAGGACAAGAAGATGTTGTGGTAGTAGCTTGAGTTTAGGAATGAGAGACCAAATTCATTGATGATGTAATCTCATCATCCATGCAGAGTGGTGAGTCTTGATTTTGTGAGGGAGGCAGTATAATTTGAATAAGAAATGCCATATTTTATTTTAAGAGATCTTTTTAAAATTATTTTGATGGATCTCTCTTAGTAATGAACTGAGAAAGTAGTGAACTGAACAGAAAGTCAGAACAAGAATATTGAGAAAATGGATTACTGGAATCAAACAATTATTTCTTCCCTCTAGAGTCCTAGGAATAACATGAATTATTGTAAAGGAATGGGTACAAACAGAACAGTAAGGACATAAAAGTAGGTACATAAGTAAGAACAGAAAATAAAAAATTCACAAGTTGTTTTAGCTTTTCCTCTGATCAGAATAACTTTTAAACAAGCTTTCTTTCAACTGTGTTTGATTTTTTCTTTAAAAAAAAAAGGAAATTTATTGACAAAAATTTCACTGTAAATAAAGGGTTTAATGCAATAATTAATGAATTGTGGAACAAAACATTATTCCATAGGCATAGTTACTTCATCTACTGAAAAATGCACCATAAGGACACTACTACTTCTACATGATTCACATCAACCCTGTAACTGCCCTACTGGGACCAATCCACCCTGATACAAAAAACTAGCCATTTGTTTAAGCTGCTGTAAACTTGTATGGTATGATACTTGTATTTTCATGAAGACATGTGATAGTAAGTAGGCAAAGTATATTGAGGAGATTCTTTGGGAATGAACAGATGCAACAAAGTTCAACATGTGACCATCCATTTATGTTCTGGTCAAAGATCTTTCAGTTTCTTTTTTTTTCTGGAACCTGGTACCACAAATGAGAATAAATCATAAATTACTTGGAATTAATGATGACCTTGGGAGATAGCTTACAAAACTTCATGAAACTCTGTTCAAAACTTAAAGAATATCAAAGTACATAATTCATTTGAGCTTACAACTTTACATAAACTTTTCACAACTGAATTGACAACAGCCAATCCACTCCATGTAAAGGATATGGCCAGTGGAAAGGCCAGAATGATACATAGGAAAAAATTGAATAGCAAGAACAAAAGCTATACCATCTATGAGGAACTATGTTACCTCTTCAATGACTCCAAACTGGGTCCTCCATTGAGAAAACAAGGTTTACAAGAGAAAAGATTCAGCTCCTGTGGATGCACTTTGGCCATATTATAGACATAGCTGATACAGGATAAAGCTGCATGTAAATGGGTTCTGAGGGTTGAAAAGTGGTGCCTATTTTGTCAAATTTTGTCCTTTGAATGTTTTCAAGTGATGTTTTTAACCCTTTAACACCCAAGTTCCTGAGGCTGTGTGTGGCTTGAGCCAGAGTTGGGATAGCAATGACACACTCCAGGAGGTGATCTATAATAAATAAATAAAGGATCAGGAAAAAGTATGCGAAGAATCCCACACCTGGGTATTCTCAGGTGTGGGATTTAAAGGGTTAAGCAGCCAGGCTGTGCTGATGCACAAGAACCATTTCTCAGCATTTGCATCTGCACAAAAGCTTTCACTCCATGTTTGACAAATGGCATACCTCTATCAAGATTTTGAAGTAAGCAACATTTCAAATGAATTCATTGATTACATTCAGAGTTGCAAAAGCAATATCAGGAGTTTAAAGCATTATAATTTCAAAGGCCCTAGCAGGCCCCCATTCCTGGGACTATGCAGCCTAGGTAAATACAGTAACTGACAGTATACAGTAAAAACATTATACAGTAAAATACAGTAACTGACACATTTTTATATGGAACTGTGACTTACTTTTGGTGTTATGGTGAAGCGTGTAAAAAGTAAAAATTGCACTGAGAAGATATGAATGTCTCTTCTACCTCTCTGCTTCCAGAGGAACAAATCTGTCTTGCATGCCTGTCAACACTAGAAAATCTATTCACTCTCTATTAAGAGACACAAAACTTCTCAGCTGTTCCAGAATAAAAGCCAACTTTAAAACTTTCAGGGAAAAAGAAAGAGAATCAGGCTGCTATAGTTGCCTAAGAAAATTCACCACAAAATGTCACATCAGAGATTCTCCAAAGCATCTCAAAATGGATTTTCCTGACCTTTTATTATTCATTTATAATAGGAGTGTTCAATTACTATATCCATGAAAAAAAAAATCAATTTTATTATCAGTCTTATCAACACTCATTTTCTTCTGAGTTTATAGAATATCATGGTCAAAAGCATAATTCTCATGCTTCCTAGATTTCCTAAGGTTTCTTGGAAAGTAGAAAAGGTCCATGAGCATTAGGGGCTACAGACTCAAACAAAGGATTTGATTGAATGGGAGCTGGCAGGAGAAACTTAGGGAAAAAAAAAAAGGCCAACTTAGTCTATGAAGATAATGGGTAATTAACACCTCATGGTTAGGTTAGGCTTAGCATGGAGCAGAATTGACTGAGAAGTGTCCAATTAAAGAGCAGGACAAATAAATATGTAGTTGTAAATTTTCTCTTGTTAAATTATAACACTGATTAAGATAAAATAATACATTTTTCCTCAGTTCACTTTTTACATTAAAATAAGGCAAAAAATTTATTTGTAGCACTCTGGAGGCTCCCATACCTGGGGGCTTGGAATCACTCCCTTCCAGGTGTTACTTTGAAGCACAAAGTTCCTCAATAGTCCTGCCAATCATCCATTGCCAAGATCCTGACAAAGAAATGATTCTGTAAATATGTGAAATACCATAAGCAAACAAAATATAGCGTTTCAACATCAAGGACTTAGTACTGCTTAGTTGAACTCTACAGAATTTCTAAATGTGTCATGTAGGCCTTCATAAATGAATTTAAAAATTGGTCATTGTTTTGGAATCTGTAATTATCAAGATCAATTTCAAAGTTATTTGACTCCCTCTCAAGACATCCTTCAATGGAAACAATATGATTCATTAGATACATGGCTATCAGCCTATAAAATTTCATAAAAATAAATTAACTTATTTTACAGAAAATATAGATTATGCTGCATTCTGCAGGCCTATGCATGGTGTTGCATCACAAGATGATTCTCCAAGACATGGCTGACGTGGAAATGAAAAGGATATGCAGGTCAGAGGTGATGGTGCAAAACTCTCAATGCATATATATAGAAGCAGTAAAATAGGATTTATTGCTGCATGGTAGATGGTTGATCCTCTTTCAGGTCAATGGATGTTGATTCCAAAAAATAAGAATTTAATCTCAATCCTTAAAGTCTTTGTGGCATGTTTCAAGTTCATTCCAGCAATATGGATAAAAGAGAATGCAACTGAAAATCTTAAGAAATCATTAGGACATTTCCCAGTATCACCACTGACACACATTAACAGTGTGCTTTGGCTATGTAATTTATTTGCAATATCAAATAAAAAGATCACAATCTAGCAACAGTCAAAGCAGAAACAATGCCTCTCCAACTACTGTAGAGACAAATAGATAGGGGCAGGGAGAGACAGTCATTCACGTTCAGGAGTGTTCTGAAGTGCCTCCTTCTTCACTGTGTAATCCTTGAGTGCAGCCTTGATGGCATCTTCTGCCAGCACTAGGAAATGGATTCAATTCCCACATAGTATTCTATCCTGGCTATCATACTAAAAAGAATCATAAGGTGGCCTACTCACTGGAGCAGTGTAATTTCACAGGTGGTAGTTTCAGTTCCTTGGCAATGGCCTCATTCTTGACAGTAGCTGCCTCTTCCAACTGGCAATATGAAAAGGCACAAGCAATGTTGTATGTCATGAGTATCTGTTACAATCATTCAAAATAAATTATGCATTCAGAACATATGAATGGAAGAAGCATCACTTGACAATTTCTTCAGAAGTATTCCTTTCAAACAAAAAAAGAACCTGAGCAGGGCAGGCAAGGAAAGGAGATAGTGTTGACTTGAACAGATTCTGAGCCCCATGGTAGTCTAGCCCTACTTGGCTCCTATCTCTCACATTCCCTATGACCCTGTCTAATTCCACTTCTTGTTAGGACACCAATTCAAACAGAGGAGGGCCAGATGTAGCTTTGCCTTGAATGGGGCTCAGGATTTCAGATGATTTTCTCTCTCCAGGCCAAGGACATGCCATCGTTCAGGTTTTTTTTTGGAAAGGTAAACCCTAGCAATACAAAGGGAAGGGGGGCTACAAGGCCAATAACTTACATGTATAGAATATACAGGGTGACCACAAAAGAATCATACAAATTCAATCCATAATAACTTTATTACTACAGAAGATGAAAAGATAAAACTTACTGCAAAATTAAAGTCACACCATCAAGTTTTTCTGTCGTAAGTTTCATCAGGTCACTTCAACATGTGCTCTGTGTGTAGCACATAAAATGTATCGGTTCCTCCTACTTCTTTCTAGCATTTTTGGTGTGATGTTGCCCATAGCAACTCGAATTCAGTGTTGTAAATCAAGGTTTTCAACCTTACATGTGTAAACTCTTACTTTGATATAACCCCATAGGAAAAAAAAACCAACAGGGTGATGTTTGGATGCTATTAAGTCATTAGGATTGAATTTGTATGATACTTTTGTGGACACACTGTACATTTAGGTATAATACATTTTTTGTACTCCTATTATGATGTGTAAAAAGTGCATTATGCCTAAAATACAAAATTTTAGTTATTAATTAATTTTGAATAGTGGACCTCTGAGGCCCCCCCTAATACTCCATGGAACAAAAAAAAACGCTTGGTATTGCTAGGGTTAGGAGGAGAGTATCAAAATTTACAAGACTGATATAACAATGAACAAATAGCTTTCATGTTTAAGCTCATGGCTAAAACAACTCCTTATTGGGGCCTTCCTTTGTTGCAGCAATCAGTTAAGCACAGATCAAATCATGTTTGGTTGGGCACTGCAGCTTCATTCATCATACCACCAAAATTTGGTTCCATGTGAAAATGCACTGTTGCCAGCTATGAAGAAGTAGCTACAGGGCAGTCATTTGATTCCCATGAAGATCTGATTGAAGCAACCAAGTATGCACTCAAAGGCTTCATTAAGGTCAGGTACCAAGTCAAATTGCAAAAATCAAAATCATTGCTTCAAATGTGTGAAATTGAATGGCAAATTACATCAATAAAGAGACTTTTCCTGACGATGAATGTTCATGATTTCATCTGTTTTATCCTGACTTTCATCACTATATATGGTGAAAAAAAAACCAAAAGCTTTAATATATCCCCACTCCCACAAGAGGTGCTATTTTATTAAAATTTTTCCTGTGCATAGATGGACACATTCCAAACTCCCCTCCAAAAGACCTAAAGCAAGTTCATTGCTACAAGGCAAGACTTTGAGCAATTACTAGAAGTTGGATAATAAAAAAATAGGCTTGAGCCCATTCTGGTAATAGAATGGAGGACATACCTGAGGGCTCTGCCAGTATATCATCCAAGCCATATTCAACATCTCTTCCATTGAAATTCATTTTTTAGACTAGCCATTTCTTGCATGTATTTTTTTTTTACAAGTTTTAATCAACTTAATGAAAAGTGAATCAATAAGTATCAAAACAGAGAGTTGGTTCAAAGTGCATCTAGGTTTTCCCTTTGGTCTTCATTGGAGAATGAGGCAGGAGAACTCAGAACTCTGGGCAAGGCACTTGAAAGGGATTGGAGTTCCCTGTTATTTAAATTTAAATTTAAATTTAAAAATCTGTTGAGAACACATCGATCTATGCATAGCAGAAGTTTCCTGAAAGTATCTCCACTGAGAGTGGAGGTATGTAGGTCAATGGTCATTAGCCTTCTTTTTTTTTTCCATAGCCTTTTAATTTTATCACCAGGGCTTCTTATTCAGGGTGTTCAAAAAGAAATGTAACCCATGGAGAATGCATGTTTATTAGTAAATTACAAAAATTGTTGAATGTGTTGGCCATTATGGTTTGCGCATAAGTGTAAACGGCAAATCATGTTATCAAACACTTGTTTTAATGTTTCTTTTGATATGCCATCTACTGTACGCCATTCTTGTACTTAAGAATCACTGAAACAGAAAGAAAAGCAATGGGTTACAATAATATATGCATTCCCCATGGGTTGCATTTCTTTTTGAACACCCTGTAGTCTTCCTCAGCATGTTGCCATAAGTGGCTTATGACCAATTGCTATTTCATAGATTCTGGTCATCACAATGCATTACATTTTTCAAGTATTCCTTTTCCTTCTGCAAACTTGGTGTGCTATTGCTATTTGTAACAATTAACTTTGATTACTTAATTAACTTTGATTGTTGCCAGCAAAGTAATGGTTGACTCCAGGTTGACAAAGTGTGGCAATTTGGCACATTTAGAAGCACTGTTCATTAGTACATTTTTCAGGCATACCCTTTTCAAATTGCCACATCTCAATGATGTAAGATTGAATTGCTGGATAAATTTGATAAACTATGTAGGTTTCCAAGCTTGACAAAATAATGTAAGTATGCCTTAGGCAGACACTCCAGTCAAAAGTTATGACACCATTCCTGCAAGTTTGGGTACACTCCTATTAGACTCTGATAACTGGCAGTGCATCCAACAAAAATGCTAATTCTTCTTATGAAAGAAAATTTTCTTGATAGTTGTAAATCATAGTTCTTGTAATTCACACTTCTACCAAAAACATCACCCGAGGAGAGCCCTATAAAATTTTCAAGAGCTAATTTTTTCTACCTTTTTCAACCCTTCAGAAATTCCCCCCAGAAGGATATTTGGCCTCTTCATTTTTCATTAAAAGGAAGAGGGGACCCTAAAAAGAAAGAGAGAAATGAAATGTTAAGAGGGATGGGAAAGGCAAGACTCACAGATTTTCCCTTGATCCATTCAGTGGCCAAGGAACTGGAGGCAATGGCTGATCCACACCCAAAAGTCTTAAACTTGGCATCTATGATTTTTCCATTATCATCAACCTTGATCTGAAGCTTCATGACATCTCCACAAGCTGGGGCACCAACAAGTCCTGTGCCAACATTGTGATCATTTTTGTCCATGGATCCCACATTACGAGGATTTTCATAGTGGTCCAGCACCTGTCAATATCAAAGTGTGATGAACTGATATGGAAAATTGTATATAACCTTCAGCTAATATGCTTGAATCCAATCCATAGTCACTGCCCCAGAGATTTAGATTTCACTAGGGATAAGTCATAGTATTTTAGAGTGCAGAATGCATTGCAAAATGCTGACTGATGAACATGTACAGTACAGTGTTTTGAATCCTTCTTCACAAAATTTTTCTACATGTTCACTTGAACAGCTGAATTGGTTCTCAGTACAGATTAAACAATGTAGTGAGCAACCACAGCTTGTCAAAAGAATCCAATAGGTCAATCAACCTTGGTAATGATACTTGGGTTTTCATTATCAGGATATGGGTTAGAATTATATCCTGCTGCATGTCCAGTGGGGAAAGGATGTTTAGGGCACATGGATGATCATACATAGGCAGGACATACCTTCTCATGATAAGCTCTGGAGACACCAGTTGATGATTCAATGAGGCATGGCAAAGATCGGAGGCATGGCAAAGATCGGCCCACCTGGGACCATAGTCTTAATGCCATCTCCAGTGATGCAATAGAGTTCCTTACTCCTCTTTTCTACTCACTTCTTAGGTTCTATTTTAAACTGCAAAGAAACAACAGTTCATGATCATACGGACAACTTGGATGGCTGAGACTTCAGTCAAGCTGTAGGTAGGCCTAAGACCAATTTAATGCTATGTCTAAACTGACATGCTTGTACTATTGTAATATGCTTCTTTAGGTAAAGAAAGCTCTTCATTTTAAGAAGAAATTGACATTCACACGTTAGTCCACACTTCTCTTCCTATTAATTAGGAGGAGCACAAAGGTGGAAAGAGACTAAAGTCTGCATTACCTGTTCATTTTTTGTGCTAAAGAAGTCCATTCAAGTGAAAAGTTGTTGGACCTTCTTGGCTAAAAAATTCTGCACAGGAATTCAAGTCTATATTATTGAATTTACTACCTCAGTGGGTAAACTCCCATCAGTTGAAGAAACAGGTGGGGTAAATATTTTCAATTTCAGTGATATGAAGATAAAAAGTCCTGCAATGATACAATTATAAGCTTGAGAAGCTGTAAAGTTAATACAGTTCCTCAAGATTTCAAGGTGAAATAAAAACAAATATAATATAGGCCTATGTGATAGAATAGATATAATACCTGAATTTTAAATCAAATTTTAATGGTCCAATAGAATTTTAAGAAACTGTATTGGCACACTATGGATGAAGAAATGTCAAACTATACACATGGGTCCAAGGCATCCTGCACTGATCAGATCTCCCCTTTACCCAATAGGATGTGAGTGGAAAAATTAACACATTATGTTTCCTCGGGGATAGTTATACGACTATAGGGGTCTTCGTACCACACTTGTATATGCAGAGGACATTACACTCAGCGGATGGAGGGTCTGGAGCAATGAAAATCCAGTGAACCAGTCTAGTCAAGGGTTAAGATGTAACTATTCTTCATGCTGGTGGGATGAAATTAAAAGGGACTGCATCGGTTCAATGGTTTTTTTTTCCTAAACCATGTTCAAGACTGCAGTACCTATTGGAATCAAAGGGGTGAGTTAAGCCTAAATCCTACGTTCGTAATGTCACCCGCCACTGGAACTAGAGGCGAAGGGTTGTAGCGATAAGTGAAACAAATTTGCTGGCAGAGCTCTGTTCCACCAATATCCCTGTCAATTGAACACAACTGCGCCACCAGAAGGGTTTAGCTTTGGCTGAACACAAGATCCACGAAGCAGCTCTACGATGCAGGCACGACAGAACGGCGCAATTCGCTTGTTTAGCTTGTACTAGAGCCAAACCACAGCCAAATTTCCTGAAGTGGTTTTTTTAGTCGAATAGACGGTTTCAGACAGAGGGACAACACAGAATGTGGTATTATATAATATGCGTTCCATCATTCTAAGTCAGCGGGATGTTGTTTCTTTCACGGCTGTACAGCCCATGTGCGCCTGATGCATCGTGTCATGGCGATGGCAGCATTGACCATGTGACGTGCACGTGCCTGTTGGCCTCGGCGAAGACATGTATCCCTTTGGGGCCTATAGTATAGGCTATATCATGTCCATATGTGAGTAGAGGCATTGATTGACCATTGTATAGGGATGTACAAACTTTGACCACTTACCAAAACATTTGTCAGCATCAACCGTAAAGTACTGTTGTCAAAGCTTGATGCATTTGGGGTGAGGCATATTGCCCTGAACTGGTTACAGTTATACAACAATGGCAGACGAAATCAGGTCTGCAACACCGATTTCAAGGGCACATCTCACTTTAGTCAAAGATATCCTATAGATGCTGAGACGCCTCAAGGGTTTGTTCCTGGACCACTCCTCTTTCTCCTATATATTTATGACCTATCCAGATCAAAACCACTCTTAACATTTATACTGTCTACAGATTACACCACCGCCAGTATGTCAGAGCATTCCATACAAGAAAATTACTGATAATCTCAATATGAAAATATAACATGTCCACATGGTGCAACACAAGTGGGCTGAATCTAAATGAAAGTAAACCATAATTCTTATATTTACTATCTGTAATTGGCCAACAATTGTAGACAATCTGGATGACATCTCTTCTACTAAATTGCTTGCATTCCATATTGACTCCCAACTCACATTTAAGAATCATGTGGTTCACATTTGTGAATGCATGATAGCAGGCCTGCATAAATGCTGGCATTTATGCACTCAGGAAACTTCCTCCATACATATCATCTGATTTTCTAAATGTATACCATGTCCCTGTTGTTTCACACATTAGATATTGCATTGTCACATGAGGAATTGCACCTGGATCACAGCTGCTCAGAATCCTAAAGATGCAAAAGTGGGTGACTGAGAACAATATTGGCCTATGAAAATTCCAGGTACACATCTTGTCATGAACTATTCTAAAGCAGAAATGTCTTAAGTGTTTAAGTCTGTCTGTAGAGCTGCCTAGGCATAAACTGAAGAAAACTAAGTGATATCCTCTTGACTCAGAGTAATAGCTTTTCTTATGAGACCAGAAATGAGGGTCATGACACACTTCCACACATGAGGACTAAGAAATGCCATCAGCAATTATATTGGCTCCAAACTTGATGACATGCTCCCAGAATTGTTATCAACCTTTCCAAAAATAAACTGGATAAAAATTTCTGCTAAGTCCAAGATATAACATGAAGGAAGTCTGCCATTTGTTGCAGAGCCACAATTACATTGTTTGAATATATATTGCTGAACTCCTTGTGTATTACAGTTGGTGGATATGATCCCACAAAAATATGAATTTTTAGGAGGAGTATATATTCTTTTTTTATGTGAATGTGTCACAGGTTCATTGTTACATTACTCTTTTGAGGTTTTATTTCATGAGATTTTGGAAGAATAAAGAAAGGACCAATCCCTGTCACAATAAGGTTTCCAAGGAGGGAGGAGGCAGGTGTAGTGGGTGAGTTGTAATCAGGCAGTCCTGACTTGAATGATTTCATTAGAATAATGAAACCAGGATTCACGAGATGAATGGTCAGACATGTAGCTATAAGTAACTAGTCAGTTGATTGAGGCATTATTGTAAAAAATACTTATCTTCAGAGGGATACTTTTACTATCCCAACCCAAACCTTAAAGGATAGTGATACTAGCATCTGAAACTAATACTAAGGTGCTCAACTAGGAACTAAAAATAATACCGTCACCCATTGCCATGATTGCTGTGACACATGTATCCCAATTTCATGGGCCTAGGGAAGGTGATGGCGACTTCAGTGTCACTTCCAGTCCTACCTATCATTGGGCCTCAGGCCATGAGGGTCCTGTGGTAGGTGCCGTTGAGGACCTTTACCTCTGTCATCATGGAGTGAGAGAATAGCCTACTGATTCCCCATGGAAGCTGGGAGTGCCCAAAAATGGCCTGTCAGCCTGTGAGGTAACTGCTGCTAATGGTGAGATTTGAACCTGGACCTCCCGTGTGTTTGAGATTCTATGCACTGTGCCATGACTACATGCTGATGTTAAAAATACCACATCAACACCTACTTGCAAGATTCAAGGGAAGAGTACCTTTGTTGATGGATCAATATTTGCTGATTTCCCATATTCTCTCTTCTGTGATGATCAGTGATGTAATAAGCTGTCATTTTTTTCTATTCAGCAATTTTTATTTACATTTTATTGTTTCCTGCATTACCATTTATTGCCTACCTCCTTACAGCTCTCACTTGTTGCAACCACTGGACATGGCAGTTTTTTTCATATTTGAAGATGAAGAGGAATCTTGCTGTGGGGAAGCACTTGCTTGAGAAAGTATTTATGAAACTATGGAGAGGTGTTTGCTGGAGGAGCATACAAAGTGAGGTTTCAAACAAAGAGGCCTACTCCCCTCTGACAGAAATGCCAATTCCCAGGGCTTGTTGCAGGTAGGCACGAGTGGGATGCTCAACAGCACAAGAAATAAATTCCAAAATATGCTGCCATTTAAAAAAGCCTACTGCCATTGCCCCTCTTGTGGACATGCCAGAAACCAACAAACAAGTCTTGAATTAAGGAAGATGTATAGTGCTAGACTGTGAAGTTACTGTAAGCAAAAACCTATTCCCTTAAAATGGATTGAAAACTGGGGAGAGTGATCTCTTCTGTTGGTGAACTATGAAGTTTTAGAACCTTTGTCTCTGTCCTCGAAGAGTGAGCCCAAGGCCAAGAAGAAGAATTTCTCCTAGCAGTCTGTGTTGTGACTGATGATGAGACCCTGACGCCTGTTCATAATGCAGAATTATATATTCAGAGATGATAAGGTCACAGAAGCTCCATCATTTGTTGAGAATCTACAGTTCACCATCAGTATCCCTGACATATTAATGGCTATTTTTCACTCCAATGCTCTAGTGCAAGGGTCAGGAACCTATGGCTCTTGAATCTAATTTGACTAACAAACTGAAAAGTTTGGCTCATTGAGTCATGGCTAATAATCATGGTTGTTCCTAATTTTTCTCATGTATGAAAGAATGCACATATCTGTTGCTAATTTCACAAAAAATTAAGTTGTTCTGAAAATCTTTTGCTCACAAGCACTTAGCTCATTCTTAATATGGCTCACATGTCCAAAAAGGTTCCCAACCCCTGCTCTAGTGCCAATGATGCAACCAGGATTTTTCATTTCCATTCAATTTCACTGTTTTAGGAAGTGGTGAAATTCCTGGTTGCACTACCTTTTTCTGAAAGCATACAATGTCATGGACAATTATGGCATGCTGCATTCTCTTATCAGCAGCAGAGAAATACTGCAAAATGTTGTATACCAAATAAATCCACATGTATCAAATTGTCACTGGGACTGTATGAAGAATATGATATAACATATCTGAGGACACTTTATTGGTGGCAGCACTTTACTTCCTTCCTGTAGAGGACTTTTATACATATGGAAATATCTTAAGAATTTGTTATCCATGTCCCTCCTTTCAGTCAACTGTAATTGACCACTTTCACTCTCCAGCTAATCAATAATCTCACCTTGAACTTAGCAAACCCTAAGGAGAAACACATAGCAGCAGTAGAAAAAAAGATATTCATATGGCAGTTGCATGGCTAACTATGTAGAAAAAGAAAGAAGTGGATGATATAGGAAGAGAGTGTGCCCCAGGGATGTCACTGACCCCCCCTTGTGAATGTCCAATCACTTTTTGGGGCCAGATCCTTGCATGGGGAAGGGTATCTACTATAGATGTTGAAGAACATATTCCAGTTATGAGAGCATTTTTTTCTGACCAGGGCCAGGTAATAATTAGTGGGTCCAGCAGCAGCAAGTGATTGTATCTCAGAACTCACAGTTGCATGGCATACTGGTCCCCCTTGAATAATCCCATTTCATCAAGCAGTATGAACTCATCCAGTTCATCACCTCGGTCTGTTTTGCATCAATCAGCAAAAGTTTCCTTTGTGTATGCTTGATTAATTCCTCTGGCTTGTATCCCTTTTCCCTCCTGGATGATGGATAATTGAGAATTTCAAGGACTTTTTCTTGTAGCATTAGTACCTCATGAGGCGAAGCTTGGTTGAGATTGTAAACTGTGACAGTGTTAATAATTTGTGCTAGTATTTGGATGTATTTGCCATTTCTAGTCATTTTTGCACCATTTCTAGTTTAAGTCATTTGAACATGCTGATGGAAGACTCTGGATCAAAGTAGAGCGTATTGTAACTTTTCAGTGAAAGGTGTTGAAAGGGCCTTTGAAAGAATTCTTTATATCTTTTTGGGACTGCCAGGGGGTGATTTTGAATGATTTTGTCCAAAAAAGTCAAAGCCACCACTAACTATCCAAATCTAGCTTCATCTCCTTTTCATGTTCTCAAAACTGAAGGGGTATTGGGTGTATCAGAGAAGGCTGTACATTTGAAATTTACTATAAAAACTTATTTGCTGATCATTCTCAAATTTTTTTTATTGGTTAATATTCTGCAAGGTTTGAAGTTTTATCTGTCATTAAAAATGGGAAGTAGCTTATCATATGAGGATTGGGAAACTTTTTCACAGCAGGCTCCATTGTGCCAGAACAATATGCATTTCAACATGAGTTAGAAGTCAGAGATGCACCATCTCACAACACAACATTGCGGTATGTCAACATTTTCCCTGATTTAGGATCTGTGGGTGATGCAAAAAGACCAATATGAATGCAAACAGCATGAATGCCAGAAACCATAGCAGCTGTAGCTATGGCAATTCAGCACAACCTGTCCAAGTCAGTATGTCACCTCTTACAGGAAGTTGGAACAAGCACTAAATTGACACAGAATTTTGCATAAAAGAGTTCCGCTAGTTTTGTACAATAAGCTACTTCCAATTTTTCCATGGCTAATAAAATTTCAAACCTTGGAGAATATTAATATGCAAGAAAAAAGAGAATGACCAGCAGAAAGAGCAACAAATTTCTCTTGTAAATTTTAAATGTATCAGTCTTCTCTGATAAACCCTGTATATGCATCATTGGAAAATTTTCAAATTATGAAACATACTCCTAGGGAATGCTTTTCTAAGGACATTAAAATGCTGCCCAGGTGATGGGTGACATTTTTATGCCTCTTTGGCATGCATGTGAGAAATATGCCCTGAGAGGAGTTCAATAAGTACTTTGCTTCTGTTTCTGCTTTGTCTGGAAACTTTTCAATTACACCTTATAGGTGCTTCTGTATTCTTTGAAATATGTCAGAGAAATTTTCTTCCAAGGTCAAAATAAGGGCATTCTTATGCTAATGCTAAGCTGGTTATTCATTGCATTTGAGATAGGCTTAGTTATGGTAGCATAGCTGATAGGTTTATTTCATTAAGTGCTAGAGGTGGATTCAGAATGTCAAAAAAAAAATGTTTCTTTCACTTCCCTGGTTTTATCAGTTACTTTTGTGTCTGCTAACACCTCTCCCCCCTGGTTTTTCACTGATGCTGAAACTTTGATGATGAAGATGACAAAGCAAATAGGAAAGAGGATGAGGTAGCCACTTTTATTATATTTTTCTTAGTGCTATACAAGCACAGGAAAAAAATTTAACTTTGAATGTGGTGTGGTGAAGCAGAAAATATTTAGAAAATATGAAGCATGGTAATGACTTCTGGTGAGAGGGATAGTGCAGAATGAATTCAGTAAACTTACCCACCCTCTTAACTCACACTGATGCAAATGTATACACTCTAGAATTGGCTAGCTTCTCCATTTTGTCAAAGTCTACTATGTTCATAAAGTTTCATCCATTACTACCCATAACTTCTGAAGCTCTGAAAGCAAGTTGTTAGAGATTTGTTGACGTACTTCTTGTTTTTCTGGAGACTGGACATAGAGGTCAACCAAGAGAATAGCTTTATGGACCTGTTTTAACAAATTAAGTATATCTTATCTCAAAGTTGTGGTGTCTGTTGGGGGGGTCTCAAATACTGCTGACCACTTGAGTGATGCAAACAAGCCATATGAAGGTCTCAATTTCCACAGAATATTTTTTGATAGAGGTTTGGTTTGACACAGCTGTTGTACTCACTTTCACCTGAACTACAGGGTAGGCCAAAAATGTTCTCCCTTTTTCATTTGAAACTTCACCTGTAATACCTAAGTCATGATGATGCAGTTTAGAGGATAAGTAGTACCACTCTTTTCAGATCTAATTTATTTTATATGATGTAAAGACATGAAGTAGTTTTTAATCCATAATATGTTTACTCAATGAGGTAAAACATTGCAATTGCACATGCATTATTTCATTGACGTTCAAATATAAAAATCTTTAATTTCTTTATTTTTTTCAAAAAAGAGTTCCCAATGTTTTCAATGAATAATTTGTACAGTTAGGAACAACATGAATTAAGTTAGGATTGAAATTATCCAAAAAACATTGAAAGTGACCATGTCATGTGCCCTAACAACTATTGTCAGCCTAACCTGCCTCTGCTTAAACCTCCCTGAGCACTGCTCAAGGGACATTTATCCTAGCATATGAAAGAAAATAATGCACACACTGCTATACTTGTTCACCTCTTGATGCAGGAAACATAATTCTGTGAAAACTATTGGTCATATTTTCTTCATTTCATTTGCATTCAGTTAGAGAAGTGTAGTAATATATCTCCTCAAGATTGCATGAGCATGTTTAATTTGTAGTAAACAAATGAAAAGGGTTAACTTTCTTTTGGTCTATCCTGGGCAACATTTTTTAGGCCATTGACCATTGGGGGAGCATGGTAAATCATGTCATGAAAATAGTCATAAATGCAGGAAAAACTACATTGTAACATCAAAGATGGGATGCAGAGAGAATCTGTAGAAAATACTGTATTTTAAAAACTTGGTCTTTCTTAAAGATCCAGTGATGTTTCACATCTGCATTGCCTTTCCAGGTCAGACCTGGAGTTGGGCAGACTTTTGGAGTCTGATGGTGTTGGGAATCTGATTGGAAATCTCCAGGAATTCTGTATGGGGCACCAATTACCCCTGCCACAGTATCACACCCTTGCTGAGTGTGGCCAGCCTCACAGTAGGCAATACACTGTTGCTTGTGTCATTGGTCCTCACAATAAAATTGGTGAGTTTTACTTTCCATGACTTTCCATGACATGAGCCATCTGATGTCTTGGACACATTTTTCATGTTCTCTGTTATAATCTGTAGACATGTGAAATATCTTGTATGATCTGTGATTTGATGAGTGAATATGAGAGATGTTATAATTAGGATACTACAGAGGGTAGGATGCCAGTTCATGAGTCAGAGGATGGTTGAGGAAAGAGGCATCATTCCTTGTAAATTTCAGTAGAGCTCATTCACATTTCCCCATTTGGTCCTATGTCTTACTTGATATGCACTCAACTCAACCAACAACTCTCCCTTAGAAAGTTTTTTTCAATTAATTTATTTCATACCCTTGTAATTTATTCTTTAATTTTTATGAATAGATGATTCAGCAAGGTTGTCATGTCAGCCCCCTTCTTGACTCCATTTCATAGTGTTTGTGCTCAACTGCTTTCAGTTGATAATGAAGTTGGAATGTGTAAGATATCCTATGAAGAGGGAAATTCAGAGAAAGTCTGGTTCTTCCTGTGACTATAGAAAACTGTTATTCCTGCTTCCTCATTTCTGAATTTTAGTGTACTTGAAAACTGAATGGCTTCAATTGGCTCAATGCTGGATCTATTTAGTTTGTATTGTTGATACATTGGAATGCTCAGCTCATGTGTCAGCTGCAACCCAGGAAGAAATCTCTTGAATAGCTTTGTGCATTGTGGACATCATTTTTCCACCAAAGGATGACCAAAAACTACTAGTTTTATTATTATTTCATTGAATGAATGTCACAAATTTCCAACACACATGCTTTCTATATGTTGTCTTACTATTGAGCAGGGGTGGCCAAACTTCCTGACCTTACAAGCTGCATAACAAAATCTTCATATGGCTGAGAGCCACAAGACACACACCACTTTGCACTTGTATTTTCTAGATTAGCAGATTTCATGTGGGTCCTCTAGGTGGGTGGCAAGAGAGTGAAATGAATTACAAGTAAATGATAGAGACATATTAGAGAACAATTAGACATCAATCAGCTCAAATCAAGGCATGAACCATTTCATTGTTTGTTTGTATTGAACATGTTTTAGGGCAACCACTACTTTCATCATCATTGATGTCTTCCCTTCCATCCATAAACCTTCTAAACCTCTAAATAATTCTAGCTCTAGGCATTACTTTATCTCCATATACCTGTTTTAAGATTTCATAGGTCTCTGTAGCTGATTTCCCAAACTTGATGCAAAATTCGATGCTGATTCACTGTTCTATGGGACTGTCTGACATTTTAAGACAAAACACCTAAACACTAACTCTTTTTAACAGTACACCACACTTGAACAACTGAGTCAACTGAAATGAATAAAATATCAACTTCACTCTAGACTTGTCTGTGGGTTATTTATTGGCTGTAAAAAATCAGTATCATCATATTTTGTCACATATTGTCATAGCATGAAGGAATAATTTTGGACAATTGGCAACTGGTGACTTTCCCCAACCAGTGTGGGTTCACATGAGAAGCAAGAGCCATGTTCATGGGTGGGCCTTCATTTTTGGAAAGGTAGTCTATCAATCTCCTATGCAATACCCATGTTTTACTAAGACATCACAGGGATGTCATCATCAACTGAACTATTAGTTCCCCAGGTCATGAGACATCCTAAACATATATTCAGTTTAATGTTTCCTGATAGCTCAAAAAGATGCTTTTAAGACTACATTGAGTCTTGAAATATCACAATAGGATCCTTTTCAATGAGAGACAGTGATCCTTGGGGGTATCTCCTTTCTTAGACATTTCCATGTCCTTATGAGTCATCTATGAGATTTGTTCCTTTGTTCCTTGTCTTCAAGGGATTGATTTCAATTTTCCTCACATTCAGACATTTAGATGACCCTAAGATGTTCCTAAAATTCATGTATGAGACTTTTTACATATCTCCAGGAGATATCTTTGGGACAAGTTGGGAAATAAACTTGTGCTGGTGGAAAATGGATGCCTATCAATGAAAAGAGCCCCATCCTGAAGACATCCCCTTATCCAGACAATTTGATGACTGAGATATCCCAAATAGTCAGCTCTAATACCTGTTATTTGTCCTTAGGGGACATCCCTTGGACAACTTTTAGGTGTACCCAAGCAGAAAAGTTATATTTGTGATGTATGATTTCATGAGAAATAGGAATATATGATGTATGTGACATATATGGTCTATCATATAATAATACATGAACATATACTGAAAAAATATATGATCATATCTTATTGAAATACTGAGTATATGATCATATGTGGCAGGGCCTTATATGAACATAATGAAAGTATGTATGTCAATAATATGGCTAGAAAGCCTAGTAAATGACATATTGATGAGTGCTCTCAAACTGGTAAATAAGTCATGATTAGTGGGGTGGTCTCTCCCTAGCAACAGATCTTGTAATAGTTTTGTTATGGAAAAAAAAGTATTATGTGATCATCTACCCATGGTATTTCTCAGCACAGAGTGGGTTTCTGGTAGAGATTTTGTTGAATCAACCCCTCCCTATATCCTAGCCCCTTTTTGTGTTTAGGATGTGGGGCATCAAAGAAGATTGCAAAGCATCAAGCAGCACATGCTATGCTGACATTCTTGAAAGAGACAAGGGTGGATTTAGAGAAGCTGAAGACCGCAACTGTGAAGGAGAATAAGGAATCAGTTGCTGACTCTATGTCATTCCAGATCACAACTACCAACCCAGACTCAACCATCAGCCACCTAATAGACAAGTTTCAGGTTTCACCACCTTCCTTGCTTCTTCCTGTTACTGACCTAAAGGAATGTTGTGTTTTGGCTATGAGGCCTTCATCTGTTTTTGGGAAAGCTACAAGCATTTTTGAATTGGTCATCATTGAAACCTTCATTCTTCTTCAATCTGAAGCCTTTTTTCCTTTGGAAACTACCACATTAATTACAGAATTTTTATTGGCCTTGTATGAATATAAAACTGTATTGCCTCAGTGGAGAAGCAAATGATGTTGTTCCTCACGTTGCATTCACTTCCCCTACAACTACTCATAGTAAGACATCTTACCAGTGTGTAAAAAATTATATATAACCATATACTGGGTGGGCCAAAAAAAAAAAACAAAGCTGCCATTTTTGATGAATTTTCAACCTGATCGTGGAATTCTGATTAAATTTGGTAGATATATTGGGTGACTCAATTCAGGTGTATGTGCTGAGTTTAAAATCAAAATTCCAAAAACTGTGAGAATTGCATTTAATTTACTTTAGATCACAAAAAGTACATGTTCATTTTTTTAATTTAAACCTAAAATTTTGCCAACAGATTAATCAATCTTCAATTTTTTGGAAAGCATATTCAAGCCCACTCCTTGACCAATTTTTGTTTGGAAATTCACTCATCATTATCCTTGCACCATATCCTTTTTTAATAAGAGCAAGATCTTTGTCACTTATATTAGGCATTTTGACAATGCAGTTTCCCCTGAAATGCAAGGAAATAAAAATTAAAAATTTTTAGATTTTAAATCCTGCTTAATATTCAGCAAGCTAATCTAGGCTTTTTTAAATGTATTTATTGTAAGTAGGTTGGCCTTAGCCTAGCTAAGCTTATTAACCAACTAACTTAGCTTATTGCATTCCATGAATACAGCCCTCAAGTTCATATCAATAATTTTAACAGCACATTTTGGCATAGGTCATCAAGAAATTATTACATCTCCTATAATTTTAGACTCAGAAGGTGGAAAATATGACTTGCAAACCCCAATTGTGTCATCCTATCCACATACCATTTTTCATCAGAATTAGTGGCAGCCTGCAGTTAGATTGACAACTCATCAAAAATGACAGCTTTGTTTTTTTTTAGCCTGCCCTCTATATAGCCTAGCAAGGTCAGTGCCAAAAAGGAAGCTGAAATCCATTCATATTGCACCAAATAATTACTGACTTAAGGGATTTACAATAATGCCAGTAACTAGTGTGGTAGCCTTCAATTCAGATGCTCCTAAAATGAAATTGCTCATGAATTTCTCTTATTTTGGGAGGTTCTCAGGTAAACTGATAAAAAGCACTAGAAACCACCAGAAAGGACCATAGTGACATGTCGGTACATGCCTCACTTCTTAAAAATTGTTAGAAGTTCTCTAGAAACAGAAGAATTCTACATGGCATTTGTTGTTGTTCAAAAATGAAGTGATTAGGAGAGTTTTTTTATGTTATTGACAACAAAATTGTCCAAAACAAGATTCATGAAGCAAATGTTAAATTGATCAAAATGAAGTGTTGCAGGAGAAATAAAAAACCATCTCATGTTAGGTGATGCATGTTTAGTAGGTCCCTTATTTTGTCCAAGTTCATTCATACAATGCTGAAAAATTAAGTTGGAGGGAATATATGAAAAGCATTTTTATATCTGGAACTTCCCAACATTCTTCAAGGTATGCCTTGAAGATTGTTCAATAGAGCTGAAGGCTTGGAATTTTCTACTGTGTTCCTCCTTTTTTTTCTAAGATTGACTTCCTCCATCACACACAGCCAGAAATTGAAGTGATCCCCTGAATTTTATTCACATACCCTTTACTTTCTTCAGAGCAAGAAATAGGTTGATATATAGTTTTACCTGTGATTCATTTTAGTGGTTTCCTGTTACTCATTACTCATTGCTCATATCTCATTTACTCAAATAATCTCGAGAGATGGCTAATTCTAAAATGCTGTTTTCACTTTTATTTACTCAAATCTTGATCAGGATCAAGTCTTGATTCCTTGCTCAGGAATCATTGTTTCACTCCTTTCATGACAGGCCCTGAAGATGTCCAAGATCCCAAAGCTGACTCCAGAGACTTCAAACCATGTGACAAGTTTTCTCAGGAACATCTCCATGCCTTTGGCCCTAGACAAGACAAAGAAGCACACATCCCTGCTCAATGATCTGGCCGTAAAGAATGGCTTCAAGTCAAAGTACATCCACCTGGAAGAGTTGACTTGTGATAATGAGTACCAATGCATATTAGAAATTGGTGCCATCCCTCTTGTGGCTGCCATTGGGTTTGGTATGAATGCTGCTGAGGCTGAAGAGCAGGCTGCCAAGGCCACCATCAACTACCTTCATTATATCAACACTAAATAGAACAATCTCTGTTCTCATCCTCTATATCTCTCTAAATGAGGAATTGCTCAAAAAGTCGTTTGCTTGATGCTCTTTTGTTACTGTACCTACTACATTGGCTCACCTGGTCCACTGGCCCCCCTGAAGCTGAAATGCTGGAACAATTTCCTGGAGAATGCTCCTAAGAGTACAAGAGCAATACTTACTCTGGAGTTTTTGTTCCCATCTCAAGAACATCATCTTGAGAATCTCAAAATTTGATTTTCAGAGCATGTTACTCCTTAGATCTTAAATAAAGTTTAAGAATGTATTTTGGAATGTCTATTATCCATACTTAAGTCAAATTTAGGATTGGTGAGGATTCCCTTAGCTTCTAATCCTGCCTCACTAGTACAGTAATAAAGCAAGAGCCAAAATAGATTTGATTGTAACATGTTTGCTATGACTATGGATTTACTTGGCAGTGAAAGTTGCTGAACTCTAAGATACCCTGATGCTTTCTACAAAAGAAATCCTCTGTACATATGAGAATTGTTGAATTTATTTTGGGAATTATTTTCTTTCCGGTGTAAATGGCAACCTTACCTGCAACATTAATGCATGCTTTGGCAAGTGTCGTCATATAATGTGCAGACAGCCCACTTCTCTGGTGATTGCTTGCAGCAGAATTAAAATGTGCTGACAAGTAACCCTATGCAGAAACAGAAGATTGTGATGAAATTTCTCATGTCAGAAAACAGATCCAGCGTCGAAATTTACAAAAATGTACCAGTTGTTTATGGTGAAGGCTGTCCTACATATTCAAAAGTGATCCACTAATGCACTCTATCCCATGAGAGCCTTGAATACGTGGAGGATGATCCGCAGTTTGACCAGCCTGTAACATTTGTAAATGCTACTAAAATTACACTCATTGACGAGACTCATTAACTGTTGCGTCCTGTGACTGTGATTTTGAACTATGGATGAGTTGTTATTAGCATAAGATCCATGGATGCGATTATTCATAACCATCTTGTTTTCCTATTTCACTTATTTGGGTTCACAGCGCCAGTAGCAAAATAACTTAAATCAGCGTAGAGTCTGCAATTTAATGCAGAACTTGGCTATGGATTAATATATAAAAACAATTTCGCCCTGCCACATTGCATCAGCAAGTTTTCCAAATGGCATTCACGTTGAAGATGATGTTCCAGTCTGCACAAAACCTGCAGTGAACGTCTGAAAATGATCTACAAATAGATAGAGCACTAATTATTTTTCAAAAAGGCATTACTGAGGAAACCCTACAGCCGGAAATTTGACTGGAAACTTCGATTTTTTGCATATTGGTTTGTTAGCATGCTATCAATACATTCGAATAGTCCTGAGAGGCCATTTTATTTCTCCGACAGTACAGTATATATGGAAACACTATGAATCCTCTTTGCCAGTATAATTTCATTTTTAGAGAGGTTCATGTCAAAAAAAAGAAGATATATAAGATATAAATAATGATACTTCAGTTTTTTCTCTTTGCCCTGTATCTGCTTTTCAGTTCGCAAAATTCCTAGTTTGTTCAATTATGCTGATAGGAGCCGATAAGCCTTGTTATTTCTCGCTGCCCCATCTAATATCGATTGAACATTGTTCTCTTTGAATAGTTTCAGTAAAGTTTCAGTTTTGTGGTCTTTGTGCTCCAGCGAGTGCACGAGGACATGACGCGCACACTCACGCAGGACAAGTAGGAGAGTAGAAGTTGGGTAGATGAGATACGCTCTCTCGGGCCCAGGCCAAGTGGTTACAGTACACATGTTGAAGCCCGGCTTGTCGTGCTCCGACCATTGCGGAGTCACTATCGGAGTTGGCTGGAGTAGAATCTTGCTTAAAGCGTCAGTGTTGGTAGTTGAAACTTTTCGACAACAGTGCTTCACCATGGGTTCGAAAATCAACTCGCGGCATCGATTTCTGTTCATTTTGGCTCCTGTCACAAAATCAGGTCTGTGTGGCCATTTGTTGAAACCCCCGCCCAAACCATAATTCCAGCTGGCTTCTGCCACCCAAAAACGATTCTCCGCTCATACGGTATCTCCGCAAAGTCAGTTGCTAGCAGGCGATTGTTCTGGGCGTTGAAGACCTGCTTTGTCGTAAAGATCTTCTCATCCAAGAAGAGGATGTCCACATCGTGATCGGAGAACCGTTCCAACAACCTTTTGCGTCGAGTGGCTGATGTCAGTCTGTGAGCACTGAACTCTGGACTTCGTAGGAATGCATCCAAAGGTCCCTTGAGATCAGCAGTTGCTTTGATTCCCGATTGATCTTCATCTCGGTTGCCAACTTCCTCACTGACCGCCTTCAATTCTGCCTCACCCGACACTTCACCTTCTTTTTCAGCAGCCTTCAGTTTCAGCAGCTTTTTTTTTGTGAGCACGGCACTTCTTGGTCGATCATCTGTGTTCCTGATCTCGGCAAAGCGCTTGACGGTCTGACTAAGAAATTTCCGTGAGTGTTCTTTGGTTCCCGGCATCCTCAAGATGCTAGCTTGGGAGTAGCCCTGCTCATGCAATGCCCCAACTGCACTTCGTCGTTCCGCCAAAGTTAGTGCCACGAGTGTTTAAGAGAAGCCTAGAAAGAAAATGACTACTAGGACCCTTAACAATGAAGTAATATAAGTAGCGCTCACTTGAGAACTACTCAATTTCAAAAATAAGGGCAGAACTTATTTGTCACATTGTAAATGTAATAAATTGCACACACCATGATAATATACGTTTATTTCGAACGATCAAAGCAACAACTATCCACTTCGTGGAATATCACATGTAAGAAGTAAGTACGTCCCTCGTCGTGAGGTGGATAATATGGTTTGGGAATCGTACAACGTAAACATCAAAAACAGCTCTCAAAGCGCCCAATCAACCGCTTTCCAATGAAAGGAGAGCAGTTGAACTGAATTCAAACCCTCGATAATACTTCGGGGATGAGGTTCGGGGGGCTCGAAAGACGAACTAGAAGAGATTCCTGATGAAACTCAGGGGTCCGGAGTTGTTTTGCCTGTTATCATCGGAATCTGAGTCTTCATATCCCCAGTATGAAGAGCTCGAACCCTGTTGATCTTGAGTAGTTGCAGAGACGCTTGCTTGGGGATAATCGGCCGGCCTTTCATGGGCATCTTGATAAGTTTCACTTTGACTAGTCTCTTGATTACTTTGCTGTCCCGCTGGAACCCTCAAGTCGTAGGTATAGTCTCCGAGATCGTCCGCATTACTCCCAAGCGTATCATCTTGTTGAGCGAGAGGAACTTGAGGTCTACGATATGAGCCCTGAGCCCCTCTGATTCCAGAGCTGGCCGCAGGTCTTGCTACGTTAGGTCTTGTGGCTTGAGCAGGGGTAGGAGTATCGTCTTGAGCAGGGTTCCTCAACGACTGAAATATCCCTGGGCGGAGAGAGCTCAAGAAATTCGGTCTCAAGGAACTGAGAAAGCTTGGTCTGGCATTACTGTTACCGTTGTTGTTGCTGTTGTTATCATTGTTATTATTGTTAGAATTGGGCCGATTTATCGGGCGGTTTCTGAAGGGCCTGTTGGGTCTTCGAGGCCGGTTTGGTCTTTGTTGTATAAGTCCAGATCCTCCCTGTCCTTGTCCCTGAAGGTTGTTTCCCTGCCCCTGAAGGTTGTTTCCCTGCCCCTGAAGGTTGTTTCCTTGTCCTTGAAGGTTATTTCCCTGTCCCTGAAGGTTGTTTCCCTGGGAGAGAGGACCGACGAGAGGAAGTTGCGGTAGTGATCCAAGTCCTCCTGGAAGCGGCCTTAGCTGTAGAGGTAATGGTCCTGGTCCCGGTCCTGGTATCGGTCTTTGAGGTAGAGGTAATGGTCCTGGCATCGGCCTTAAAGGCATTGGCCCTGGCATTGGCCCCGGCCCTGGCATTGGCCCCGGCCCTGACATTGGCCCCGGCCCCGGCCTTGGTCCCGGGAACTGCTGTTCTTGTGCCTGGTTGAAGTAAGTCGTGAGGAGATGCGGTCTAAATAAGGCCTCGGGTGGGATATTTGGAGGAATCTGCTTCCCATCTGGGTGATGATACTGTTGGCGGAAGAGATTGTATCGAAGGATCTGTTGCTCCTGTTCGCTCAAGGCCATCGGGGGCAAGGGTGGTCGATGTGGTTGCCCTGATTGAGGTCGGCGGATATGTATTCTGGTACGCCCTGTATCTCCTTTCGCCTTTCCTTTCCCGCGCTCTTCCTCTTCTCCATCTTCTTTCTTCGCTTTCCCCTTAACCTTCTCTCTCTTGGTCTCCTCGACAGACTCTTTTACTACGTCCACTTCTTCCACCTTCGAAGCTCCGACTCCGGGAAACGCTTCCCTGATGAATACCAAGTACTTGGTGTCCCCGTTGTCGATCGTATACTCGTAGGCCTGTCCCCCAGCATACTTGTCTGGGACTTCTTCAGGCTTCACCCCGTAGATTTTACCAGATGAGCCTTCAAGGAGATTGTAATAATTGGGGTTGCCTTCGTAACCGACGAAGGTCACGCCTTCTTGCACTGATTTGGTTAGACGCACCCTAGGAGAATAGGGACCTTGTTGTCGGTATTGATCTAGTTGAAGACGGTTGTCGTAGTTCTCATCGACGTCTGCATGTCTGGAGGGAGGGAAAAAGCCGACGTTTATGGTTAGTGAATGATCCTTAACAAGAGTGTTCTCTTGTGGCGTTTCCTACCTGTAGGCATCTTGAGAATCGAAGGTGTATTGAGGAGGTTGATAGCGATAGAAGTTGGAGTATTGGGTGGTGTAGGATGGGCCTTGATTTTGACTTGGATACGGACCGTAGAATGACTCGTCTCCTCCATCCTCATTTAGGTTCCGAAATTCCTCATACTCCACGTACGAACCATCGTAAGGAATCCGTGCTTCTTCCTTTGTATCAGAAGAAATAAAAATAATACAACTTGATGCAAGTGATGTATCAGTGGCGTTTGGGAAGCATGATAATACATTTCCTGCCGATTCCTTGACCTCGAGAACTAAGAAAACATTATCTATTTCTGTCGCATTATTCTCAAATTTCTAAATGTTGCCCTCATATGAAATGATCAGGTGCCTCTCCTGCAATATCGAGGAGCAGAAGCTTTGACTTATTTGGAGTGCAAGCAAGTTCTCCCAGATTCTGCTTGTACAAAATGTGATGGAAATGAGTCTATTACGTTCATTGCAATCTTGCCACTGTGTCACAGATGCTTCTGATGTTGCAGAGAATGTTTTTGGTATTAAAGGGTATATTTGACTGCTGAACCAATTACAATAGATTACAGATGGATCGTTTCGAAGAGCCGCTTAT